CAAAATAGTCAAGTCGCTATAGTGTCTCTGGCGCAGAACAGCTCGGCTGTCGCGTCATGAATGACCGGGTCAGGGGTAAGACCCCGTAGGATTCAGAGGGAGAGAGTGTGTGTGCGCTTCCAGCGGACGTTAATGAGCGTTGAAGAGGTGGCTTTGAGGTCAAAAGAGGCAAATCTCGCAGCATATGATCACAAACTCTACAGTAACAACGAGACACGGGCACAGCCTCATCCCACTGTTAGCCGTAGGTAGTCGCACATGGCGGATAAATTGACCTCGCTCAGACAAAACGGCTGTTTCCTTGAAGTGGCCGGTGAGATGTGGCGTCAATTTAGCCCCTGGTTTCCGTTTCCATAGAGGCGCCACAATCGGCCTGGGGGTCTCTGTTTAGTCGCCCTTGGCGCTGAAACAAAATCTAACGGTGTGTAACTCTTGCATAACAATAAGCGGGCACAATTCAATTCAATTCACCGAGCAATAGAGCTTGTCCCTGACTATTATGTGCTTTCCCTGTTTTAAAGGCCAAGATGTTGTAGACCTACCGGAAAACAAGCATAGATACGGTTAAATACGGTGCCGTAGACGTACCCGTTGACGTAGGGATTGAAACAGATGCGAGTAACGTTACTTTTGCCTGCATCTACAAGGGAGGTAGTACCAGATGCTGCCCAGAAAACACCAGCAACTCCATCCAAGTTGTCTTTCATGGATCCATTGTCAAGTATGGACAGATGTGTTTAAAAGCCTGCATTTCAATAACCATTGAAACACAGGGCTACACCTGAACCGAGGCCAACCGTAAGGAATTCATCTCCGCGCTCTCTAACCCCCTACTAGAACCCATGAGAATCCTCCGAGTCAGCAATACCATGTTCAATAGTCAAGTGCCTGCCGGTGATAGGCCACGATGGTCGTGAACGCGGCGAAACTCGACCATCGCGAGCGGTCTCTGTGATTCATCGAATGTTTCTCACCTCATGGGCTTAGATCCCAACGTAACTTTGACGGGCAGCGGCGGTGAATTGTCGGTATCCGACAGCCGTCTACAGCAAGGTTAGACTTGACCGCGGAGGACATGTCCTCAAACGGCTACACCGACCGGGGTGTGTTCAGTCCAGTCACCCCGGATCCCCTCCCGTTCGCAGGCCCCCCGAGGTGGCCTTGACAAAGGCTCTCGCTCGCTCGCTCCTAAATGCTGGCGAGGATCCCATCGGTCCCTGGGCACGGAATCGACGCCAGCGAGGGGGGGGCCTTGCTAGATATGATGCCGATGGAATCCACTCCTTCGGGGGGACTTCATTCCGGTCTTGATGCCCGATTCTCTTTGTTTGCTTTGCGAGATTTTACAAAGACCAAGGAAGGAGACTAGGCGAGTAAACTTTGGAACGGTTTGCAAGACAATCTTATCGAGTGACGAAGCTCAGGGGAGTAGACGTTTAGTGATAATTGCAGACCCTCTTCAGGATGTTGCACCGATTGGTGGTGATAAGTATTGAAACTATGATAAAAGAAATTGTCTTAATTGGCCGAACCGTACCGGTTTGGGACTTGCAGGTTGGTTATGGGAAGGGCTCATCTGAATGTTAGTGAACTTGATGTTGAACGGAACTAGGGGGTTTCAGCCCAGGCTACGAAGATTGAGCTCCCATGAGAGCCAGGAAACGTCTGCTAGCATACCATTGCAACCCTAGGTACTGAATCAACGTCTGGTCGCTGTAGCTTACCATTGCGACGAGTTCAACTTATATGAGGCTTGAAACTTGTTGAAGCAAGGCTTGGAACTCACAAATTGTTGAACTACTGTGCGTTTTAATGGATGCCAAGTTAAATATCCATTGTTTAGGGTAACAAGGTAGGAGCCCTAGGCATTGTTCCTACCATTTGCTGTATGTGCTACCGCTTCCTGCCTGTTGGGTCCATTACACGGCAGTTCCTGCCTCACCACGCCGTACCTGAATTGAGGCCTCGCTCGTTAAACATCTATTCCCATGATTATCTTCCATTTTCTTCCCAATCAATGGAAAGCCACCAATACCGAGACAACTCAGTCCTTCATTAAGCTTGCTATTGGCCAATTGCACCATGACGAGCCAAGCAATGGCACAGCTCAACTATCCTGACGTTAAAACGCCGCCTGCTTTGGCCAAGACGAGCCTCACCGACAATGACAAACTCCAGCATCATTGTTTGCCTATGAGTCAAGTTTCCCTGAAAGACAGCCCAAAACAAGCAATTTGGATCTCCGGTCTTTGGATAATCATCAACACGATAGCCACGGTTGGAATTGTAACTGTCTCTACCCTACAATCTGAGAGTTGACTAACACCAACTAGGTCTTCACCAACAAGGCCATATTCTCTGATCCTGCTCTTCGCCATTGCCAACTTTCATTCGCCTCGTTTCATTTCCTCGTAACATGGCTTACCCTCCATGTCTTGTCAAAATCTCCTCTGAGTCTCTTCGTGCCTCGCCGAGCAGCCACGAGACAGATGATACCCTTGGCTATGGCAATGTGCTTCAATGTCATCCTCCCCAACATGTCCCTGGCCTACTCATCGGTAATGTTCTATCAGCTTGCCCGTATCCCGGTAACTCCAGCTGTCGCTCTCATGAATCTCTTGCTCTACAGAGAAATATTACCGTTACTAGCGGTGTTCGCTCTCGTCCCGGTCTGTGTTGGAGTAGGAATGTTTACTTACTCTGATTCATCACGAACAGTTGATGGAGAAATCAGCCAGACATCTACACTGGGTGTCGTCTTTGCATTTACAGGTGTTTTCGCGTCGGATTTATATACCATCTGGATTGCGAGTTATCATCGGAAGCTTCAAATGTCGAGCATGCAGCTCCTATATAACCAAGCCCCAATCGCATCCTTATTGCTTCTCTACATCATCCCATTCCTCGATGTATTTCCAGATCAGAGGACAGTCCCCATCCATCGATGGTTCATGATAGCCTTGGTAAGGACCTGTTTGTTCTCTTCATCATCTAGCTAACTGGGGTACAGTCTGGGGTCCTCGCGTCTCTGATCAACATTTCCCAGTTCTACATCGTTGCACAGACAAGCCCTGTGTCTAGTACTGTAGTTGGCCATGTCAAGACTTGTACTATCGTGGCACTGGGTTGGGCCCTATCTGGGAGAGACATCAATGAATGGAGTGTGGTTGGAGTGTTCATCGCCGTGGGAGGTATCATTGTGTGAGTTTAATCCATATATCTCAGATCCTGTTGAGATTAAACTAATTCATGTCAAGGTACTCGACTGTGATGCTCAGAGCCAAAGCTTGAGAGTTCATGGTTAACCAAAAGAGACGTGGCACAAGCGTGATTGATGTAGGTGATGCGGCCACAGATGAAGCTTAGATAGAAACAGACGCGTGGAATTTTAACATCTAATGCCCTTCTCTAGGGTATAATATTGGCAAACCCAAGTTAGACTCCTTGTCCGAGACCCGTCAAATGATTAAAGGTTGAATCTCTTGCGATCCTTCTCCATCTTGGCCTTCCACTCCCATTGTGTCGCGTCTTCACCCTCGCTACCTGCTCGTCCAATACCCTTGTCGACTCTCCTCAGCTTGAGTGTGAATCGGGGGCCTAGCTCTTGCAAACCGGCACGGATGTTCTCAACGCCCTTAATCTCCTTTCCATCTGCGCCGACGATGCTCTTCTCGGTCTGTCGCTTATCTCGGAAGACATAACGATGCCTCCGCACAAAGATGTAGTCTCGCTGGTTGTGCAGTGTGACGACCTGGCGGCCTTGGAACTCTGGCCTAGGGGGGAACATGGTCTGGAAAAGCTTGGCTGTCAAAAGACCCAGTGGCGTCTTGAAGTTGTTGAGGAGAAGCTCGGGGTAGTGGTTGGTAGGGTTTCCGTGGCCGGGGAGCTTCTTGCCCTCGATCCAGTTGGTGATGGAGAAGTGAAAGGTCGGGCCTGTGGGGAGGTGCACGACGGAAAGACCTGTGGGCTTCTTGGAGTCTTCCTTGAGGAGGACCACGGCCGTGTACTCGCGGTTTGAAGCGTACTTGCAGATCTCGCGGAGGGAGTACTTGTGGCCATACCGGTGGGCGGATCGGGGGATGTAGTTGCTGTTGGGGAAGAGACCGCAGAGGAGATGGGCCTCTTCGTGGATGGTCGAGTTAAGGGATGTGGTGATGAGGATCTTGGGCACGGGAGGGGGGATATCGGTGAAGAGAGCGGGGAACTTGAGGGCGAGTGATGACGGCGTTAAATCGAGGTTGGTGCTTGTTGTAGACGGGGCGATGCTGTTGTCTCGTCTCGCTCGTTTCTCGCGCTTCTTGTCCAGAGCAGCCTGACGCTCCTCATCCATCTCCTCATCTGAAGCCAGCATACTGTCGACATCATCGTCATCATCATCCTCCTGCATCTCGGCCTCGTGAGCAGCCTGCTCAGCCGCCTCGGCCTCTTCGATACGCCGGCGCTTCAGCTTCTCCAGGTCCACCTGCGCGCCGAGGCTATCATCATCGACATCGTCCCACACTCGCTTCTGGTCGATCGTGACGGGCTTGCGCTTGGCCAGACGGGCGGCCTTGAGCTCGGGATCCTTGGCCTCCTCCCTCCTGCGACGGTGTCGCTCCTCGTGCCTCTCCTTGTCCCTGTGCTTCTTGTGCTGGACGAAAAGCTCTCTTCGCTTGATCTTGTTGGCAGACTTGAGCGCCTGCACCGGCGGCTTTGTGAAGCCCATCGCTACGGGACTGCAATGGGTGTGATTGGGTTGATGATGGAAATGGCCAAGCTGGTCGCAACTGAAGCCAGCGGCTGGGAAATTTTGGGTGGAGGGGCATGAAAGTCCGGCAGAATTCTGAACTTTTTTTTAATCTTTGGCGGTGAGACGGGAATCGCATCATTCTATTGGCCCAACCTTGCCAATCTCCACTAAAAAGATCTCGTCGACTTTTGGAAAGTGACAAGATTGAGAGAGCAGAGAAAACCTCAGACAGTCGATCTTTACACTGCATCTGGTAATCACAGCCAGCACCATGGCGCCAAACGGTTCAAAACGAAGAAAGCTGGCCCATGACTCGTCGGATGATGAGTCTGGGGCTCAGTCCTCCTCCAAGAACGCCCAGAAATCTTTCTTTAAGCACGCCTCAAACTGGAACCTCGAACAGGACTACGAGTCGCGCCCGCGCAAGGGCAAGAAGCAAAAGGAGAGCAACAAGCTGCCCATCAAGACGGCCGACGGAAGGATCGAGCATGCGCAGGGGGATGACGACGATGCAGCGTCAATTGAGAGCGACACCGAGTGGCTAGAGGGTCGTGAGGATGAGTTTGAAGAGTGGGAGCCGGAACCGGACGAGATGGTGAAGGAGCCTGAGGTTCCTGAGCCGCAGCAGATCCGAGAGGCGCAGGAGGAGCTGGCAAAGATAGCCATGGCTGTCAATGAGAATCCGGAGGATCATGTCGGCGCATTCAAGGCCCTCGCCAAGATTGGGCGCTCCAAGATCGTTGCCATCCAGATGCTCGCCCTGGTCACCCAAATGTCTGTCTACAAGGATGTCATCCCCGGATACCGGATACGCCCGGCGAACGAGGACGCCGCCAGAGAGAAGTTATCGAAGGAGGTGCGGACGCTGAGGCAGTACGAGCAGGCCTTGGTCTCGGGTTATCAGACCTACATCAAGGAGCTCGCCCGGTGCTCCAAGCTGGAGATCAGTGTTGCTCGAGGTGGACAAAGCCTCGCCAATGTGGCCATTACTTGCGCTTGTACTCTTCTTACATCGGTGCCTCACTTCAACTTCCGCGCGGACATCATCAAGATCTTAGTCAACAAGCTCAGCAGGCGCAAGATCAACCAGGACGGCGTCAAGTGTCTACAAGCCTTTGAGACGCTCTTCAAGGACGACGAGGAGGGACGGCCAACTCAAGAGGCAGTGTCACTGCTCTCAAAGATGATGAAGGCACGCGACTTCCAGGTCGACGAGAGCGTCGTTAACCTCTTCCTCTCTCTCCGCCTCCTCTCCGAGTTCTTCGGCAAGGCCTCGCAAGACTATGTGGAACAGGACAATTCCGCCCAGGGCAAGAAGAAGCGCGAGTTCCGGACCAAGCGCCGGCGCAAGGAGCTCAAGGAGCAAAAGGCGTTGGACAAGGACATGGCCAACGCCGATGCGATGGTCAGCCATGAGGAGCGCGACCGTATGCAGTCCGAGACCCTGAAACTAGTCTTTGCGACATACTTCCGTATCCTCAAGCTTCGTCTGCCGCACCTCATGGGTGCTGTCCTTGAGGGTCTCGCCAAGTACGCCCATCTCATCAACCAGGATTTCTTTGGTGATTTGCTCGAGGCCCTCAAGGATCTCATCCGACACAGCGAGGAGGACTCAGAGGTGGACCCTGAAGCTGAGGGAGAGAACGAGGAAGAGGATGAAGAAGATGACGTCCCTGTCCGCAACCTTACCCGTGAAGCCCTCCTCTGCACCGTCACTGCATACGCCCTCCTCGCCGGCCAAGACGCCCACAACAGTCGCAACGACCTCCATCTTGACCTCTCCTTCTTCACCACCCACCTCTTCAAGTCCCTACTCTCCCTTTCCACCAACCCAGACCTCGAGTTGACCCGCCCTGCCACATCATCCGCCTCAGCCACCACCAAGATCAACGTCCAGACTACGACGGTCCTCCTCCTCCGCTCGCTGACTGGTATTCTCCTTCCCTCGTGGAATATCCGTTCTGTCCCGCCTTTGAGGCTCGCCGCATTTACGAAGCAGCTCATGACGGCCGCGCTGCAGCTGCCGGACAAGTCATGCCAGGCGGTTCTTGTGCTGTTGAGCGATGTGGCGCACACGCACAGCAAGAAGGTACGCAGTCTGTGGGATACCGAGGAGCGCAAGGGTGATGGCCGATACAACGCCGTGAGTGATAGTGTTGAAGGGAGCAATCCCTTTACGGCGACCGTGTGGGAGGGTGAGCTATTAAGGAAGCACTTCTCGCCCAAGGTCAGGGAGGGCGTGAAGCTTTTGGAAAAGGGTATGTCTGGATAGATTCATAATTTCATAGATAGCCAAATATTAGCGCCAACGAGATCATTCGGTACATCTTGTAGGTGACAGCCTCAAGTCCTGTTCGTGAAGCACTTGAGCCAGAAATCTCAACGAGCTCTACTATTTTGCATCACAGACCAAAACTAGAAAGATGATGATGCATAATATCAACAAGAGTCTCTTCACATGATTATATACACTTAGCAAAGTCCTGTGTTCCGTCCAGATACCTCTATCCGCACTCATCCGACGTCAAAATCGGCACTAATATGCCTTCGCCAGCCTTGATCTTGTCTGTCATCCCCCCTGACGCACACGTCCCATCTTCAGCTACCCCTTTGATCTCTCCATGCCCTTAATCCATCAGACTAAATAGCCACTTTGCTCAACTTGACATCTCCAAGAGTCATATTGCTTCCAAATGTCGATTAGGAAGCCCACATCGAGGACTTGAGACCTAGAGTTTTCCGGGGGGCCTTCTGTTTCTCAGTAGGCGCGGCGGTCTTGTTCTCGCCAGCTTGGAATGATTGACTTGGGCCAGGTGTCATTGGTGTTGCAGGGAACTGCATGGGAGAAGCCTGAACGTGATGGGGAGTATCGAGGTGAGGTTGCACCAATACATGACCATTCGTAGGTCCTGGGATAAGGAGACCGTTAGTAATTCGAACAGGAGTTATGGTAACGAGGTGTCCAGCGAATGAAGGACTGCCATCGGAGTTCTCAGCAACAATGTATTGAGAATGGCTTTGATGGGATGCCGCCCCTTCACGACTCTCTGCGTCGAGTTTTATGGCAAATGGATCGGCTGCGGGCGCGCTTGGGGGGAACCCCGGAGGACTCATAGGAGAATCCAGGGAAGCAGCCCGGGATCCTGGCACAAAACCTGGAGCTTGAGGATCAAGGTTCGAGATATTAGTTGGCTCACCGGGTTTATTCTCACCTCGAGTCTGATCTCGTGAGGTCTGGTTGATAGCAGAAGACCCCTCAACCGGTCCGCGCCCGTTCTGCTGAAGAGGTGGGACAATGTTCTTTCGAACTTTCTGGACTGAAATTCCATTCGCAGTTCCAGTTGACGTAAGTGGAGACTTTGAAATGTCCTCAGTGTAGAGAGTGTTGGGCTTCTGGTCCGGGGATATCATGATGAGGTCCTCGTCGTCTGCCTTTGGAAGACTTGGTACATCCTTTCTGGAAGGCTCTGCCTTGGGTCTTTCAAAGATCTCCCCTTCTTCTTCCTCTTCCTCTTCGTCAGAAGAATCGTTGTAGGATGCGGCCCAAGTGCTAGCAATGTTGTTGTTCTGAAGGCTTCCAGGGACAAGGGCTTGAGCCTGTTCTGGGGCTGCACTCATAGGCCTGTTGGTTTTGGGCTGGCTACTCTCAGTCCCCATGGCCATTGTGGTCTCTGCTTGAATGTCTACCAAGCGGCCCTCGTCAGCTCGAGCTGGGGCGGTAGTGCGGTTCTCGTTGCCCGAGACATCAGTCCCGTTTTGCCCTTGAGCAACGCTGTTGACTGGTTTGTTGGTCACACTTGGGGGCACGACTGCCATGGCGCTTTGGTTGGGAGGTTCTTGAAGTTGATTTGCTGTCGGCAGGTGAGTCCTACTGTACAGATCACAGAACAGAGTTGTTCCATGTGTACTTACCCGATGTGGGCTGGGGGGTCGGTTGGGGAGTCGGTGTTCGACGGTTCAGAAAATCAATGGTAGAAGATCCCAAGCGCTGGCCAGGAGTACGTCTCACGTTACTAGAGACTAGGGTGTCTGTGTAGTTGCGCCGACTTGGAGGTGGAATGTTAGAGACGACCGTAGGAGGGGGAGGGGGAGGGGGAGAGTTGTAGTTGTACCTCTCTGGTGGCGTGTCAGTATATGCCCGCCCTATGAAATAGTCTTGACTTACCCCGAGGTGCTCTGTTTCCAAAGTCATTACCCTGTCTCTGTCTACTGCCACCACCGCCGCCGCCGCCGCCTCTGGGCTGGCTAGAATTACCAAACGACATAGCCAGCTCCCTGGCAGCTCTCAGCTTTTCGGGATCATTGTAACCCGCGCCACTCATGGTCACTTGATCAAGTCCAGTATCAAGGTGTGGATGTTGGGCTTGATAAGAGCGTCCTTTGACAAGAAGGTCAGATCATCCAAACCTGGAATCTGGACGAAGGTCACCGTCGTAGGGTACGGCTACACTACGGCGGCGAAGCTTCGAAATGATCTTGGAGAACGTACAGGGAAAGAACCAAAGGCTCTGTGACTGGAGAAAGAGCAAAACTTCCACGATCGCAGAAGAATTCTGGAGTGTTGAGGAGGATGCAGGGCAGGGGCCGGTCCTGAGGCGTCCGCTATCAGCTGAAGGAAAGAGATGAAAAGCTGGAGGGGGCGAGATCTTTTGGCAGTGACTCACCTTGCAGTTGAGGTGTTGTTTCTGGCGAAGAGCACCGGAGAAGGCGGAGCAGGGAAGGGTAACGGGAGGGAAGGAGCGCCTCCAAGAGGAGACGGCGGGAGTAGGTAGATCAAGGTGCAGGCCAACCAAGCGAAGATATTGGCGAGCTTCTGAGATGAGGGAAGAAGAAGAATCGGGAGTTGGGAATGGATGTGAAAGATGCCTTCAGGTTTGGGTGAGAAGAATGAAGGAGAAGAAAAACATTGAGTGGGGTGGAGTTCGGGGAGGGTGATGGAAGATGGAGGGGAAGGTGCGACACACTGAGCTTGGACGGGAGAAATACCACTACCTACAAGAGATATCGCAGAGGAATTAGGTGACAAATGCCCTACGGACCTTATTTTCCAGGGGAACTTCCCTTGGAATCGAAGAGAAGCTTCTCCTGAAGACCGTTGACACTGCCCAGGAACTGCCCGAGGAACGCTCCCCGCTGGGTATTATTACGGAAGGCATTGGAATTCCTATCTGATTTCTTATCTAGAGACTTGTACGGCGAGGTAGAGCCCTCTTTTATAGGTACCTATGCATGAGGAGAGAAGATGGATGTCATGTAGGTAAGGCGAACTACCAATGGTAAGCTCCTAGAAGCCATCTACCTCGTTTGAGAGCCCGGAAGCTAATTGGAGAATGCAGAGGTGCATATGATGCGCGTTGATCTTTGGAGAATGGTCTTCGTCGTGACTATGGGGTCTTGCATTCATCGATGGCTAGCTTGACTGCGTATGCTTGACACTGCCCGTTTTCTCTTCTAGTCCTGCACGTTCACACAACACGACCAAACACAATCACCGACAGCAATCGTTGTTTGCTAATACGGTGCTTTTTCGAAATCTCGATGGCTTGAGCTTCATGGCTGGTGTGTCGAGGTCGGTGTTCACCCATTACGAACAAGACTCTGCGGAATTGACCACAGTATTGTTGCCAAACACTTACCAAGGTATCCCCATGTTGTTACTACCCTTTAATATATACTAACTTGTTGTGTCGTTCATCCTAGGCCGTTTGGGTCCCACCGTCGTCTCGATGGCCTTGATCTTTGTGGTCAGATGCTGAGCATCCCGAGATGCGTCTAGCCATGCTGCTTCTGCAGGTGGCACTGATTTCAAGACAAACTCCTGCAAGGCTCCGGCTCCTGGAGCATCCTTGGCAATCGCAATTGACGACACTCTCGGTACTCCCAGGCAAGAACTCAAGCGCTCAGAGCAAGGGTTGGAGAAGCCCACAAGGCGAATCTTTTCTGTGGATGGGAGATTCTTGGAGGCTGCAGCAACCATCTGTGGGAAATGACAATTGAAAGTTGAAGCTTGGTTCCCACGGGCTACAAAAATCATGAGATACTGTCGTTCAGGCTTGTCTTTAGCAGGGTCTGCGTCACTCTGCGACAGAGCCTGGAGATTTCGAGTAATAGAGTTGAGGCCAACATCGATGCTAGCATCAATCTCTGGAATTGGTGGTACGGGTAGCTCTTCCGTCGTTCCAGCGGCCTTCTTGTCGTCTTTTTCCTTCCTGGCTGCCCGTTTGCCCTTTGACCGCTTGACATGTGTTTGCCGGTACTGCCCCAGGGGGCTCAATAGACTAAGCCCGTCAGTATGACTATCCAGACCGCTTAAACGGGAGAGTGCATGGTGTGGAGGCAGGGCAGAGATGCGCATCCCTGTGACTATGGGGTATCCAGACTTACTCGCACAACAACTCAAGAATTGTGTCTTGATCTTCAGGCGAGACCGCAGGCCTAGAGATTTAGTTAATCACTGACGATCATGGAAAGATACTTGAAACTTAGTAAATACCATGAGACTGTTGAAAAGGGCGTATCCAGCTGGTGCACGACTCTCTTCCGAGCCGGCTGTGACGTGGGAGTAGTCATGTTGGCGAGCACAGGGAACTGTCGGTGTAGGAAGTCACTTTGGGGGGAAGAGTATTGGATGTCGGTCAATAAAACTAAGGCTGGCTTTGAATTCGAGGACGAGGCGACATATGTTCGGTAAACGTAGACAACGACGTCTTGGAGAGAAGTGTCTTGGAGGGTGACATCTAAGCAAGCTCTGCTTTGCAGCTATTTGCGGGAGGCGGGAGTATGTGGGTCACGCAAGCAAGGTCGACGGGGAGTTGCTTAGCGTCGCATTTCGGAGCAGACCAAGCGCCAGCACGATAGAACGGCCGTCAATTGAAAGTATGGTGACATTGGGTGGATGGATGTGTGTTATAGCAGTCCATGATAATAGACCGCCATACGGCTTTGCAAATTGCATGGTGGTCATCTAACCTTGGCCTCTTACAGGCACCATCTTGTATCTTGGCATGGGCACCACAGCTCACCAGAGCTCTAGGTACGGCCGGGATCAAATGTCGTGTCAGATCTTGACCAAACAGGAGGGGCAGCATCATGGCGGGTCTCTTTGGCCTCGACCAGGTTCATGGGGATTTTGGTCGCCGTTTAAGGCGGCTGCCATGGCGGTCTCTGGATCTCCACGTGGTAACAGTCGACAATCTCGAGCTCTAGACCCGCAGAAACTCTCTCCTACCTACCTAGGTAGCCACTTGATGCACGACTTGATTGAAAAATACTCCGAAGGTACAATATCACATCCTTTGACTCCTGCAGGTTGGCCTTCTCATGACCAATGTGGCTCCTCTAACATTAAGCCCTCTACTCTGCTTCAAAGTGCAGGATACGCAAGGTAGCCTCAGGCAAGCAGTTTCAGGCTCACACGGTGTGTCACTTGGCGACGCGGTTGGCCACCTATCCATCGTGAATTTGCTCCATTGTCAGCCAGTTACCCTCGGTCACTGTCCCCTCGGCGCATGGCGCTTGTTCAAGCTTTTCAAGACCCCGGTGTGTTTTCTCAGTGATTGACCTACCGGGTATTTATTTTTCTGGTTCACCTTCTCGAATTCGCCAGGGGAAGCTGTCCAGGTGAGCTCTCTTTTCTCATCATGGATGGACGTGAATGATATCTCACATCCATCCTGATCCCACAGCCCGCTTTACCCCACCAACACCGCTATCGTGACAGCTGCGAAGCGCGTCGACAACCTGCACGTCTAGCCTCCATCTTTTCTCATTTCTCATTTGCTGATTTCCCTTACCTACCTATTTCTTTGTTATTTCTTGATCGACATCTTCTGACAGCTGGATTGCCGGCGCAAACAGTCGATTGCTGCATTGCATCTCTGCTCGGATTAATTGCCCGCGCTATCCTCACCCCTTACCCCGCCCTTCAATCACGCCCAGCGGACGGTCAACCTGCCAGGTAGCTCAGAGCTCTCCACTAAAAAGCATTGGATCCTGCCCTGGGTATCACAGTCATCAGCCTCCACTGCTTGAGGCAACCACCAAAATATCACCGAAAACTTAGCTCATGAGGTGGGCTTTCATCCTCACGACGCAACAGAAAAGCTATATAGCGCAGTGACGGAGAAGACTCCCCTTCTTCCCATTCTGTCTAAGCATCATATATCAGACGATACGCTCGCAAATCTCCCGGTCAAGCACAAAAGGTAAGCAGCTTCCTTCATCTCTTCTCTCAACTACGCAATCCCACCAATGCCCATCCCACCCGACGTCAGGCAGCCTCCCCTGCTATTTCCACCCCCGGGCCTCTCGTCGAGTCTGCCGTAGCGGGGTCCACACAAGCAATCCGCCAGAGCGCGCCCTGCCAATCCATGCTCCCCCATATCCTTCCTCAGATCCATCCACCAAGAGCCTTATCCATCCGTTTCCCAATCCGCATCCCACTTCTAAGCCTCAGCAACCTCTATTCTTTCTAGGCATCTTCCATCTGTCTAGACAACCTCGCCGGGGCTCTTTTTCTTTTCTTACTTGTCATCTTCATTCATCATTTCGCCCTTGGTTTGACCCCCCTCCCCGAAAACCCATTTCGAGCTTGGAATCTTGCTCTTTCGCCCCCGCCGAATCGCTTCTCTTACCAAACCCACATGTTAATTTTGTGCAGCTGTCGCCGGGGCGTCTTTCGCGACGGTGTGACGTCTCTACACCTCCGCGCTTCGTGCTTTTCCACCTCTTTTCTACACAACTCCGATGGATCCGTCCACGATATCCCCGGAACTCCCAGATCGTGCTGCCTCCGCTGAAGCCAGTTCAACCCGGCCGAATCCCTTTGATGACGGTGATATCTCGTCTCGCAAGCGCCGGCGCACGTCTCTCTCTGGATCACCTACAAACTCCCTCGATACCGTGAACCCGCTCCACGATTCCTCGAGCTCGACCACTCTCGACACCGATCCTGTCGTCCCCAGCCGTGACTCGGCTACAGAAGCCCGGCCAGAGCCTGTCGCGCCAAAGACCCCCGAGCCTGGCACCTCGATGCGCGAGCCACCCACCGAGCCTCCGTCCAGCATGGTTACTATTAACCTTAGGAACGCGCCCCAGAGTGACTCGTCGTCTTCCGAGCCCCCATCTCCTTCACCTGCCGCTCAGGCCCCTGCGACCGATGCCGTCACCGATGTTGCGACCGACGACGTCAAGGCCAGTGTGGAAGACTCCGAGGTCGACATGGTGCCAGTTCCACCCCAGAGTACCGAGACCTCCAAGTCAGCTTCTTCACATTCAACAAGCCCGCCTATCGAGATTATCACGGTGCCGTCAGATGATGACATGGCTTCCGATCATATGAGTGTTGGAGTCTCCATTATTGGAGACGACCCCATCCTAATCGATCCTATCCATGACTTTCCCTTTCACGATCCCGAAGAAACAACCGAATCGACAGTGGAACGACTGGCAAACTACCTTTCAACTCGTGAGCTTTGTTATTCTTCTTCTGAACGACTCAAGCAACTAAAACATGCAGAATCTCCAATTGATGAAGGCGTTGTCGACAAGGTGCAGCAATGGCTGGAACGGTATCTCAGATACATCAGAGACGTCGACCAGCAATCTGCCATCGACTCATGCCGACAAAATCCGGGGTTTTGGGTTACGTTCCCCGAAATCTTTCACGCAATGGCATGTCGCAAGTATGTCTCTCCTTCTTTGCTCCTATTACTCTATACTAATCATACTAGGCCATCAATGTTGAAAGCACATGGATTGCGCGGCGTTACTCTGGCTTTTTTCGCTGGATTCGCCAAGCTGACGGCCTGGTTCATCGAATTCGACATTCGTGCTCTCCAAGAGTTTTCGGCTACACAGACGGATCAAAAACAGCGTCCACCCACTCTATTGTCTCCTCTTTACCTGGACCGGTTACATATGATGACTGGGGCGCCTTTCTACGACGAGCAAACTGGTAACGCCGATCTTTCATCCCCCAGTCTGGAAGATGTGTCATACGTGATCAAGGAGTTTCAGGAAAGCCAAGGTGGAAGCCTCAGTTGCCTGCTCCAGCTGGTTAGATGTCTGGTCGATCATATCTCCAACTTCCCTCGATGGACTGATGAGCTATCCTCGATATGCCTGGTTGCAGCAGATATCATGACAGATGCAAGCTTCGCCTTGGGCAACCCAGGACTCCCACCCATGGCTAAACAACGGCTAGAAGTTGGTCACGCTCTCTACGACCTGGTCTCAGATACCCTCGTAAGGATGGTTGAAAAGCAGCCGACGCAGTTGAATGCCGATAAAGTCTCAATTAGCGTTCGGGCTCTCACAAACATGATCAAAGCGAGCCTTCAGGGCGAACATGAAGCTGCAACCCAGCTGCTAATCGAGCATCGACAGGCGCACCCTCAGCTCCCTGTTAACTACACTACTGAGGCAATCGCTTGGGAGCGACGCCTTGGGCTCTTGAACAAGCTCATAAGGTCAAGTCAGATGCAACTCCGTGTTGTGGGTGTCACCCAGATGTGTGGTGACTTGGTCTCCTGCTGGAGACGCCACTGTGACAGCGGAGACGATGGCAGTATACTCCACCTCAACCATCTCGCGGAATACCTGCTCCAGACCGGACTCATAGAGTACATCCTCGGCTCTAACTGTCATCCAGAGATCACTCTTGAGGGTGCCAACATTGTGGGCTTCTTGGTAGTGACCAAGATGTACCGGGAGGAGCACATCAACATGATATGGCAAGGCATCACGTCCGGTCAGGATCCTCGCACCGCAGATGCTCTCACTCGCATGGTGACAAATATCACAAACCTTTTTGACTACGCCGGTCTCTTGTTTTTCTGCGACAAATTTCAGGCCCTTCCCATGGATGGCTTCACCCCCTCCATTCGAATGCTTTGGGAGACCGTTATTAGGCACATGGTTACGAGATCACAAGTCGATCGACCGGGACTGAGCTTCCATCCCTACAACTTGTGCTTACGACTGCTCAGAGAGTCGTCAATTTGCACATCCGGATCACAAGTCGCATATCCCGACATGCAGCACGCAGCGATGCAGAAGTTTAAGGAGCTCCTGGCATATGGGCCAGATCCCGAGGGACGCCAGCAGCTGTACCAGAGCTGCATCCAGGACATAGCAGACCAGTCAGCAACTACATTGGGCAGCCTCTGGTGCTTGTCAATGGCAATTCGCTCCGCGGTTGTGACGGAACTTCGTGTCTTGACGGAGAAGCACGACCTGACGAGACTTATCGTTACTGAGCTAGAGCACGCAATCAAGGTCGGACGAGCTGCTGGCGTTCAGACAGTTCTCTGGGGCGCGATCAACCAACCCCGCAGGGACTTCATCACCAACATCATCCAGGTTGAACCCCAAACAATCACCAAGGAGTTGGGGATAAAGCTCTGGGACATGCTGGTCGGCCCATGGTCACTATCGCTTGAGGATAGGAGAGCAGGATGGGGTATCTTGAACAATCTTAACCGGAAGCTCAACCTCGCCAACCCCTTTCTCCAAACGTGCTTGTCTCAATATCTCCCAACTCTCCCTTCCGAATACTTCTGCGACGGCATGCTGGAGTTTCTCCGGGCGGAAATTCTACCACGTCTCAACGATAAAGCCGACCTGGCTCTTGACGACCATGACATGGTTGCTGAGAGCGGTATTGAGCAACTGTGGCGCTTGATCCTCGAGACTGAGGATGGACCTCTCGTTGACCGATCAGTACGGACGCTTGCAATCGATATCTATGTCGAAAGCCGGCATATGGCCGCCAGCCCGCTTCAGCGAACACGATTGATTCACATGGCTCTAGTCAACCGATGCCTGCAGCAGCTAAAGGATGCCGCGCGGAAAATCAAGAGCTCCAACGATGGAGCTACGAGCGGCGAGGATGAGGCCATGTCGACTGCTACAACGGATGAGCAAATCCAGCAGCAGGAGAGGATCTTCATTCGATCCTTGAGACTATTACGGCACATACTGGAGGCCCATCAGTCAAAACCTCTTCTGTCGGCCCCTGACCTGAGAACACTGATCCCCCAAACCCCCTATGAGGTGCAAGGAGACTCGGCCGAGCTCAAATACCAGTCTTTTGATGGGGATGAACAGACTGATATCAAGCCACTCGCAATTGGGAAGCTCAACACCGCTGCGTCTTTACTTGCCAGCCTGAGACAAGAGACAGGCTTTGAGAACTATCGAGTTTACTACAGAGGACGACCTTTTCTTCCCAACGAGCACGAAATCTGCAAGTCTTTGGAGGATCTGCGTGTTCAGGAGGGGCTCATGCTAGTCAAACGTGAGGAAGCAGGCCCGGCCCCTTCTGGTCGAGTGAAGCCAGGTGCCTCTCCCCTGGAGGTAGAAATCTCGGCGCACTTTGACGAGATGTTTGAGTATCTCAGCATGGAGGAGTCACTCGCACAAGAGGTATGAAACCCAGCACCAATTTGGAAGGCTCCGAATAACTGACTGTGTATCCAAGATTTACCACTTTCTCGTGAAACTCCCCACAGATGGTCATCTCTTGAAGTCAATTGACAGCAGCACAACCTCGTATCAGCAAATCTTTCCTCCGGGACAGCCGTACAAGTCACTCTACGCTGTGCACACGCTTCTAGAGTATATTGAAGCTGCTTTTCACGGGCGCATTGACAATGAAGATCCCAAGGATGACCCAACTGACCCTGGTCAATCCTCCGCGTATACCAAAGCTCTGAAGACGGGCCTCTTCTTTGCCACTCAGGCAATCTCGGACAAAGATGTCTTTGATCAAACTTCTGTGGGCCTGCGTCTGAAACTCACTGCCAACTTGATACACGCATTCCGACGGCTACTGGATAATATGCTACGGTCCACTGGAACGCTTACTGGCTCTAGCCTAGTCACAGAGATCTACACCCCAGGACGACCAGTCAGTACGGACATCGTTATCGTGCCTGAACCAGCTCGGCTCGTTGAAATCTTGACATGCGCCATAGATTCCCCCGGCGATGCTTCTCCAGTGATTGCCGGAACACTTGCCCTCACACTCCGCCTGAGCATTATCAATGCTGCATTCTGGGCAAAACTCAACACAAGCCCCGATTTTGTGGCTTTACTACACCGTGCTTTGCTTACTGATCCAAGACCTGAGGTCAGATCGCTTGTTGTGAAGCTCATTGAGGAGCTTGTCTCGATGACAGGCCACACACAGCCGTTGGACAGGTCAAACGAGTCATCCTCAAATAATCCGGACGACATCTTTGTGGCCCTGGTCTCATACTTTTGGGGTGTTGTCAGCGACCTTGTGCTGCAGATAGCCGGGTATCCGGACCAGTGTGAAGACTTCTTTAGGCTGACGTATGTCTTGCTGATGCGATTGAAGGCTCGATCGCCAGGCGTGTTGGATCTCCCAAGGCTTGCCTCTCAAGTCAGCCAGCTCTTGCTCGCCCATACATCAACTGAAGTAGGTTCCGTCAGCTTCGAGATTGAGTTGTACGAGCTAACCGAGTACACAGGCCATTGGGTCTTCAGCTGGAGAGGACTCGTTTGCGAAAGGCCTTGCAACAGTTTTGCATATTTGCCTGCAACTTGATCCCTCGGTTGCCCAGTCCCCGCAATTGCCAGCGTACGAGAATGAAGCCTCGCCATGCAAGACCGATGAACTGACTCGTCATAGGGATTTGCCTTTGTCACTATTCTGGAAGCAGTTGTACCCCCCCAAGCGCAGTTTGAGCGAGCAGCCCATCCCTAGGGTGGTTCTCCACAGTGAAACGAGAGCGAAGCTTTGTGAAATTCTTTTCCATCTCGTGAAGCATGATCCAGAAAAGACCAAGGGCCTGTTGGAATCGCTCGAGAGTCTCGTGCCCTTCTACGACGATGACGATGACGGCATGTCTTGCGCTATATCAACCTCGCACCTGCTGACATCTAAACCAGATGAGCCATATCTCTACGAGCTCCCATATCAATTTGAGCGCCTGCGGGCACTGCGGGCACCATGTGGTTACGCTGGCCTGCTGAACTTGTCGAACACATGCTACCTCAATTCGATCCTGGCGCAACTTTTCATGAACACGGGATTCCGACAATTCATCCTGAACTCGAAACTTCATGATCCCGCCAACGACCAAGAACTCATGTTCTACACCCAAAAGCTGTTTGGCTTCATGCAGGAAAGCTACCGTCGCTTTGTTGACCCCACCAATCTTGTCAGTTCAATCAAGACCTACGATGACACCCTCATCGACATTCACAGTCAAATGGACGTGGATGAGTTCTACAACCTGCTTTTCGACCGCTGGGAGGGACAGTTTCACAGCCACGAAGAGAAGAGGAAACTCAAGTCTTTTTACGGTGGTCAACTCGTGCAGCAAGTCAAGTCAAAAGAGTGTGAGCACATCTCTGAACGACTCGAGCCATTCTCTGCAATTCAATGTGACATCAAGGGCAAGAACACGCTGGAAGACAGCCTTCAGGCTTACGTGGATGGCGAGATCATGGAAGGGGGTATGCCTATTTATTATTCGATTTATCTCAAGGAGGCCGCTAACAATCAACAGACAACAAGTACAAGTGTTCAACGTGCGACAAACACGTTGATGCTGTCAAGAGGGCGTGTCTGAAGGACATTCCAGACAATGTCATCTTTCACCTCAAGCGGTTTGACTTTAATCTCCGTACTCTCCAGCGAAGCAAGATCAACGATTACTTCTCATTCCCAGCAAAGGTCAACTTGCGACCCTACACTATCGAGCACCTGAGCAACCCGGAAAATGACACTGAGGAGGACATCTTCGAACTGGTCGGTGTCCTCGTTCACTCGGGCACGGCTGAATCAGGCCACTACTACTCGTACATCCGTGAGCGCCCTTCCGCCTCAGGTCGCCAGACTTGGGTTGAGTTCAATGACGACATGGTAACGGCATGGGATCCCTCGCACATGGAGAGTTCCACGTTCGGTGGCCCTGATCATCGCCCATACGACACAAACGGTATCATCTACGACAAGACATACAGCGCATACATGCTGTTTTACCAACGCGCCTCTTCTCTAAGAGCTGAGCAGGAGAGGATGATGAGCCTAGGCATTCCAGGGCCTCTGCGAGTCAATGTGGCTGACGATCTCAAAGATCACATCATGAGCGAAAACACAGTGATCCTTCGCCGTCACTGTATATATGATCCCAGCAACCTCAGACTCGTTCAGATGCTATTCCAGCAGACGAGACAGTTTTGCGGAAGCTGTCGTGAAGTTGACACGAGCCAGAACATTGGCGAGTTCCTGATTGATCGCGCTCAAGAGCATGGGCTTCAGGATCTAGCCATGCATACATTGCTGAGCCACCTGGACCAGGTCGTCACAAGGGCAAAGGACATGCCGGATTTCCTCAGCTTCTCCAAGTTGATCAGCGATGCTATCACTTCATGCCACCATTGTGCGTTTGCTTTCTACAGCTACTTTGACCAACGACATGATGCACTGCGCGCCCTCCTTCAGCGGAACCCAGAAATGGCGGTGCGCAACTTTATGAGCAAGATGTTCACTGTCGCTATACACAAGATCGCCAAAGGCCTACCTCATGTCTACGATCCGCCGGTCCCAAATAGTCCGATCTCAGACCCCGATGGAGACGAAAACATTACCGAGGGCGCTGTTGCTCATCGTTCGGTCATTGATGGCGTGATGCTCCTGTTCAATCACCTATGGAACTTCTTCCATATGAACCTCAGATCGTGGGATGACTGCTTTGGGGCTATTCTGGGCTTTGCAAAGCTGGGAAGTCGCGAAGTCGGATATGTTCTCGCTGCTAATTACCTGGCGAGGCTTCTGCGTATTATCTCGGCAGATCCAGCACAAGCCCTTACCGGAAGCTATCAAAGGATGCTGCAGGCTGTTCTCAAACGCATCAACAACGCCAGACCACCTTCTTACCTATCGGTGATCACGCTAGTCGATTATCTTCTGCAGCAGCTGGAGCCGGAGCTGGGAGCAGATGTGATTGTTGAAGACGCAGCCGACCGACTGGAGCGGATGGAACGACCCTTCAGCTGGACGTCGGAAGAGGTTCAACTCGTGCACATCAGTCTGGACGATACTCACGGCAGCCATTTCGTGGAGAAGCTACTGGGGATCGACCAAGCGACCCGTCCAACCGACGACATTATCCGATTCCTGACCGGAATCGGCTCAACGATGGACGGCAAGATACTAGCCACGTTGAAGCGATGCATCCGGGGTGAGACGTCAACTCAAGCCATGGACCCATTCCTGCGGGCGGCCGGCGCCTACATTGAGAGTACCGAGCAACTCGACTTTGCCACAAAGATGATTCAGCATGTGTACACGCAAGCCAAAAGCCTGCAAAACACAGAGGGTGTGTACTTTGTTCGCTTCTTTGACACAGCACTGTCACTCGAGCGGTCAGAAGGGGAGTTTGCGAGGACCATCAGGAGTCTCAGTCTCCGTCTGGTGCCAAACTGGACACCTCATCTCCTAGCATATCAGGAAAGCACCGTGCGAGCAGCCACAGAGAACTTCCTGGATCGCGAGCTGTTCCAGGCCTTGCAAAGCGAGTCGATCACTGATCGAGACCCTGAGGATCGGGAGGAGATCAAGCTGACGGTCAGACAATTGGGCCTCACGTGTTTGGGGCATCTCGAGGAGCATCACGTCCGAAGGAGAGCACACTTGGGGCGAGACATTGCGGGCTCGTTCTCGCGCGTGATTGAGTCATGCGCCAAGTCTATCGAAGGTGATCCCGAGAAACAAGACGATGTCGACACAGAGTTTATGGGCTTGCAGCGCGGTAAGTGGACTCGGCCCGGTCTGGGTCCCCCCTAAAAGAAAGATGGCTAACGCTACAGGACAGAGGTGTTGGATCCCCTCCGCAGGCTGATCGTGGATGACATGGAGGAAGACGGGTCCGGTATGTCACAGTCGTTTAGCGACTCCGATACTATTACAACAGACTTCAGGTGACGGCTGACGCTGGGTAAAGACTGGGAAGGATCCTGTGGATCATCAGACCAGATTGACGACCTGGTGGAGATGAACATTACAGGACTGAACGAGATGAACGACGTGGAACTGGCTTGATGACAGACCATACATGCATGAATGAATGAGCTCGCTGGGTCTAGAGAGAGACGGAGCGAGATAGGCGTCAGGGCAAAGGAGGCAGGCATTTGTGTCTTTTGTTGATTTCGATTCTCTGGTTTACCATCTACACTCGCTAGTCAACGCAAAGGGTGAGTAGAGGCCAAGGCATCATCTATCGTGACAGCCAGGGCCGGCCGGAAACGGATGGTTGTCGAACACAGTTGATGTTGAGCAAAAATGCATAGCAAGGGAGTGACGGCGCAAGGGCTAGAGGATAATGAACAGGAATACGGCGGTACCAGACCGCGAGACGAGAGAATCAGGGGTCGGTGAAGATGAAGAAAGGTATTGTTTTCGAGACCAAGATCAAGACCAGCGTTCTTGTATCCATCCCCTCTCTGCCTTGGCTTTTTGGGCATGAGGACAGAAATGATGAATGATTATACGAAGCAAAGTCAAGACAGACGGATCACATCGAGTTGGAAGCTATTCAACCTCGATGTGGATACTCATTGTCAGGAGTCTTGAGCTTGGACAGACTCCTGTGCCATGACGCCTGTGTCTCACGACGAAGCTTGCCGCCGACACCATGTGATTGATTCTATGAATATCTCCAAGATTTTCAAGTGGCGCCAGCATCGGGTATTCTGGTGGACGACGATGTAATATCGACGGCCGAGCAGCCAGGATCAGCTTCTATAGAAGGGCATCATTAAATCACGACCCCCTTGTATGACGGCAACATTGGGGCCGGCGGCTGGCCGACGCTACCTATCTTTAGCCACGGGCGACCAATATTCCAGGCCCGCCTCGGATACCACACGATGATGTGATGCCAATGAAGATGCGAAAATAGAAAGTATTAGAGACATGGCCGTCGAGACAAAGCCGGCTGGTTCCACGGTCCCCATCTTGGGTAAGAAAGAGTCTACCTTAGGTGAGAAATTGGGGCGGTGGCTGGTGGATGGATGGATGGTTTACAAGATATGTTGGTTCGTCTCGGAAAGACAAGTGCCGACGTCTGACAGCTTGAGAAGAAATGGGTGAGGAATGTGCAAGGGACCAGTCACGATGGCGGAGACAACCAGCCATGACAATCAAGACTCTCAACAGAAATGCTCACATGGAAGAAATCATTGAGTATACATCTTGTGTTTCTTCAACAGTGGACCACCACCAAATCTATGTGTGCACTACTGCACCAAGTCCCTGTCTCTTCACAAACCTCTTGTGCCCTCCACTCGACCAACCAGCCTCTCCGATTGCAATCTGCAACAGGGGTCCCCGAATCTCTCACACCTTTGCAGCCTGTCACAGCGCCGCTCGCATCGCCCGTCAGTTCTAAAAATACGTTTTAACTCCCGCTAGCCAATCAAGGAGCGTACCGGGAACCCCGCCGCTGCTGAAAATAGCAGTCCCGGGCACGCGCTAATGCACGTTAGCCGCCGAGGGAACGTCTCCCCTCCCCCTCATGGTCTTGCCGATTGGATCGTTCCCGGCATTTACACCGTTTGGCAGGCTGGGACTGAGGAAACCAGTGATAGAATAAGCGGTACAAGATAGAAGATGGACAAGAGGTGATGAGCAGCTCATGTAATTCCCCTTTTCTTACATAGCGTCTTGCCCCCCTCAAGGGTCCCCCCCTCCCTGACGTTTCATCTACCACTCCGACGCTATACTACATGGTGACCATCTTCTCTCTACTAGGGTCAGCTCTCCGGCGGGGGGGTCACGGAGAGGGAGGCCACACCTCAGGCGAGACGAAAATCTGGTGGCTGACTGGCCAGACGCAGGAGAGTTTTGAAACATAAACAAGTGCCCGGGGGTGTGTATGAGTGAGGAAGAAAAAACGAAACTTGTTTTGCATGCGGGTTTTTAAAACTCCTCCATCCTGCATGTCTCCTGCTTTTCTTGTCTTGTTTCCCCATAGGATCACGACGACGACGGGTTTTTGTTTTGTTTTGTTTGTTTGTTCGTTGAACGCACGATCAACGACAAGGCTGAAGGAATAACAGCTGCTGTGCGGCCTGGATGTTGTTGATTCGCGTTCCCTTGGCTTTTTGATTTGCTGATTCTTTGCACTCCTTTATTCCTCTTACTTTGGCCGTTTTGTGGCTGTCCCTCCTTGAACCATCGACTCGTCGCCTCTCAAGGCTTAACGATAACAGACAAAAATATGTCGCTCAAAGAGAGAATCTCTTCGCCTTTGGAGGCTGGCACCTCCATCTTGGACGCTCACCACCTGCCGCCTCATCTCGCGCCGGCCCTCGAGTACGCATCAGCCCGTCTAGCTCGCAAGTCTCAGCACATTACCCTCGTCGTGGCCCGTCGAGACTATCAGCTACCATCTGTGGTGCCGCCGAGGGGCCTCATCACCCCGACGACCCCGACACCGCTGTCTCCCAGCTTCCGCTTCAACTTTGGAAATGGACCCATGTCGAAGCTCAAGTCGTTGGTGCTGGCCAGTTCGTATAATGGACCTACCCCGGCACGGTCGATGGACTCGCCACGAAGTGGAATATCTTCGCCTGGCTTTGCTCCTCCACCGGATATGCCGAGTTCGCGGTTCAGATGGCCTCTCTCACCCACCACACCTCTATCGCCTCCTCCCATGACGCCCGGTACTGCCTCGTCGACTACCACTGACACCATGAGCTCCATCATGTCGTCGTCAGGTTTTGGCATGCGTCTTATCCATACGAATGAACTCCATCCTCGGTCCGAGAAGATCCTTAACCAAACACTTGAAAAGACGGAGAAGAAGTTCCGTGTTGGGTGGGTTTAGGTGTATGTTAAGCATATCGGATATCTTGCTAACACTTCATAGTTCTGAGTGGCTTTCACCAGCAGTCAGGCCTTCCTCCTGCGGACTCACCAACCAACTCATCCATAGCTCCATCATCCAGAACGAGGTTCTCTTCTCCTCCGAGGGCCTGACCTTACTCTCGCTCGATCGGCTGTTTAGCCTCAAGAGCGCACTATCCAGTTACTCCAAGACGAAATCTCACCTGCGCCTCGAAGACGCCGTTGACGAACTCCGCCGCACAATCCTAGCCACCGGGTCAAAAGTCTCCAAAACTGCCGTTCTCCGATCATATGACTGGCTGAGTGTGTCAAACTCTGCCCTTGTTGACTTGGAACGCATGTATCGGCGTGCGTACGGCGGACCGGAGCAACTTGGCGGCATCGAAGGCTTGTCAGGATTCACCGAGCCAGCCATCAAGGCGATCAGCGATTTTGAAGAGAGTGATAGCGATTCCGAGATCGAGGAAGACATGATTGGACTTGCCATCACCAAGGAGAAAACACCTTCACCAAAGCCCCAGCTGAAACTGCTGACCAGCTTTGAAACCAAGAAACCAGAAGTCCCCGTCGTCAAAGTCGAAGGGGAGGAGGAGGATGAAGAACGAACGGCACGACCGACTGACAGGCTCTATTTCTCGATGCAGCCGTGGGAGGGCTCAACCATTGACCAGGTCCTCAGCGCAGCTCCTGTAAATAAGAGCGCCTTCAGTCCTCTCACACCGACCCCTATACTCACGAGCCCGGCGTCGGCAAAGTTTGGGCCCATGACGCCCAACGGATATGAAGATATTTCGCCCATAACACGAGGAGAATGGGGATTCATGATGGCAGATAATGCCTTCCAGAGCGGCCGAAAGGTTGGAGTGGAAACATTCTGAAAAAAGGAATTTCTTGGGTTTGATTTTGTGGAATGGCGAATGATTTGTTTTAAGACACCCCCTTTTGTTTGTTGGTATTGCTCCTCGCTGCGCATGTTTGGGATTGGGATTAGAGCGCGGCGTGGTTGTATCTGTAGGAAGCCCCTTTTCAGGTTTAGATGTAAATAGAAATGCCTCTTCATTTTTGGATATTCTGTGCAAAACTTGGGTATCATTGTCATCACCATCCGTACTTGCTCGATGCCTCCTTGCGGTTGCTTCTCCCTTTGGCGAAGCTGTCCTCGAGGGCCTCGCGCTGGTTCTGCACATTCTGCACCAGCTGGCGAAGACTGTGCTTGCCGCCCTGGAGAGCACGTACGGGGTTGTGTATCTGCTGTTCTCCTGACGCTCGGATCTCCTCGTTGTGTTGGTATTCCTTGTCCATATTAAAGTTGATAACCTTCTTGGCCGCTTGCTTGCCTAGCCCTCCACGGCCAAAGAGCTCACGTCGTTGGGCAGCTGAAAGGTTGAGATCATCTGCCACCGTGTCCAGCGACTCAGATCCTGGTAATGTGGTGGCAGATGGACCTGTTTGTGAATGGCTTGCATACTGCGCGTAGTCGGCGTATGCGCCATCGTCGTGGGCCAATGAGCTTTCCTGAGTTGCAAACATGGGCTCATAGACAGCGCTTGGTGCCGCAGCATCCTCAGGCTCCGAAGGTTCTTCCGAATGCATCGAAAACAGAGAGACCTTGGGAGGAGCTGGGGCAGGTTCTGGCGCTGGCCCGGATTTTGTCTCCTTGGATTCTGCCGAGTTTGGTTGAGATGGTGCAGCCACTGGCTTCGCTGCCCCTGAATTCAACTTTTTCTTCTTCTGCGGATTCCTTGCAACCGAGAGGGGTTTGAACATCAACGGCTTGCCCACAAGCTTGACCTCATCAGCAGGCTTCTGTCCTTCTGGGATGGATGGTTGAGCAGCCTTTGGTGGCGGCAGACTCAACCCTCCTGACGTGATGCTATCACCCAGCCCCTCACCATCATCTTCTGTCCCTCGGCTGAAACCCGGTGCAGCACTCGTTTTAAGATTGACGCCTGGTCTCGATGTGGTGCTGCTTGATGCTGTAGAGGTTGTCTTCGGCTTGTTCGCATTCTTTGGGGCCGGCAGGAATGAGTTGAAACCAGAAAAGAGACCTGATCCCTTTATTTTCGCGCGCTTTGCGGGAGGTTCTTCGTTTTTGGCGGGTGTATCGTTGGAGAGCTGAGGGAGGTTGACGACGATTTTGCCAGGATTGGATCGATCAACTACTTTCTGGAAGGGCTTCTTGGACGACGACGTAGTCTTGGGGGTTGGCTTGACGGGGGCCTCGGCTTCAGAGCCTGAGCCCTCAGAGTCGGAATAATCAACCAGGCCCATGATGAATCTTGGACAAAGAATAACCGTCAACTACAAAAGTTGAGGATGAAATCGCAAAGTTGCTTGCTTTCCTGAGCTTCGCGACATGAGGTCGAAATGCGCCCCATTGTTGCCTTGCCTCTCTAGTGGCCCGTGCTCAGACGTAAGCCACATGGGTCCTTGCACATCCAAGACGCGAACGAGGCTGCGCTGCGCCTGAACCCCACGAATAGCTTATCGCAACGCTCCCTACCAATGCTCCTCGCCCCACAAACCTCCAACTCTGGGCTTCTTAGAATGACAAATTACAAGATATCGGCGTGATACTGGCGTGTTATATACCCGCCAAAGCAGTCGCCATCATGTCCGTCATTCAGTTGGAAGAGTACGTTGCTATAAGACCCCGACAGCCACCATCCACTGACATGGCATTCCCCCTAGACTCGTGTCCTATCAGCTCCGCACAAGCTACCTCAACGAGATCGCCGACGGTGTGGGCGAGCGTCTCCTCACCATCAACGATGGCTTCCTAAACTCAGCTCCCTTCAAGGCCGCCGGCTGGCGACCCAATTCCTCTCACATTAAGCGGACACACTCACCCCCGATACCCACCGCTATCGCTTCCGAATACTTCCAGGCACCTCGACAGGCAGGCCTCACGCTCGAGGATGGAGATGAAGATGGAGGCATGCTCACCGCTGGCGGATCCGATACCATGGGGCCTGGGATGGCTATCAAGCGGCGCAGGCGCCGGGAACAGATGGAAGAGGAGGACAGTAGCGACTTGAGCGACGACAGCGATGATGACACGGATCAAAGAGCCGCGCAGCAGATCAAATTTGCCAAGATGCCAGTGAGGCATAGAGCAGGTTCATCGCCACTTCAAAACACCAACCTACGACAGGTAGGGGCAGTATCACCAAGGGCGCCCCGACGAGGTTCGCAGTCGGCATTGGAGACAGTACGGGAGAGGCCACGAAGAGACACAGTCACCAGCAGCGAGATATCTTCCGAAAACGAGATCGACATCCCCACTGTCCAGAGACACCGAGAGGCTGCCAGGGCTGCAGCTAGAGCAGCGAAGCTCCAAGCGAGAATCCTCGAGGAGCCCACGCCTGGCATCAATCGGGTGGGCACATCTCTCTTGCCAGAAGAGGAAGAAGACTCAGATGAGGCTTCAGATATGTCCGATGATTATGTGGAGAGCATAGACTCGGCATCTATCCTCGATGGTGTCGAAAACCCAGCCATTAACGGATCACCCACTCGTCAAGTTGTTGGAACACCGCCTAAGAACTTTGTGCGACAATCGACGATTCGCAAATCTCGGCCACCGACAAATCCCATCGTTCTTGGGTCTTTACCACCGCCGAGGCCCATGAGCATGATCAGGCCCCTCAGTATCGCCCAGCCCAAGAGCTTGTTATCGGCCGCGCTCAAGGCCAAGGACAAGAAAGCTACTATCCCCTTCCACAGATTTGCCCATTTCAGCGGGCAGGGGACGCAAGGCCCTATCCGCGTGCGAATATATGCCGCCTTCTCCAAGACGCCAAGCAAGCCGTTCCAAGTACTCATCCGCCCACGCGTTCAGGACGGGCAGGGCGCCGAGAGGGCGGTGACCGTAGCGGACCTCGTTGGCCTGAGCTTGTATCGCTACAATGAAGAGAAGATGGACCCGCCCATCCCCACAGACAAGCTCAACATCAACTGGTGGACTCTTCGAATGGTTGAAGAAGGTGGTGAGGTGGATGATGATTTCCCTCCCGTTCCGAGAAGGGAACCATTAACCTCGTTTACTACGGTGAACAATGCTGCCTTGCGAGGTGGAGGTCGTATGCGATCGAATTCTACAGCTTATGACGAGTTTGCCTTGGCAGCAGCCTCAGAAGAAGAGTATCTTGAGAACAAGGAACTTACACCGCAAGAGGAAGAAGACGAGCCTGTAACATCACAGGAGAGTGGTGGGGTGACTCTGGATTCAGCAGAACCAGGTCGAGAGGATGAGGATGCCACGCCCAGGGGCACACCAGGCCCGCAAGTCAACTCTTTCCTGGCCGCCCGTCCAAGACAGAATCCCATCGTCACGACAACGTACCGGTCAAATGCGCCTGCAGCAGATATGCCGCAGGCACCCATCGCGGCTCCAAACACATCACGGGGACAACAGAAGCTACTCCGGATTCACATCATGTCTTCAGACATTGCACCAGGCCAGATGGTTACGCTGGATGTGACGACGGATACCTACCTAGCCGAGGTGCTGGACATGGTATGTCGGAAGAGACAGCTGGACAAGGCCAACCATGTACTAAAGCTACCCGGGTCGGGAGCTGTAGTAATGATTGACCGGCCCGTGTCGTCGATCGGCAACGTCTCCGATCTAGAGCTGTACAGACGACGGTTCGCGACGGACGGGCCGTTGACCATCACTGGATCGCCTGGCAGTTCATCACCAAAGATGCTACAGCTTCCAGATCCTTCGACGCAGAAGCGGAGCAAGAAGCAGGTTCAGATGGTGGGAAGCCACCCACTGGCGCGAGAGTCTCTGAAGCAGGACGAGCTCAGCAACGCCAGCTACAAGAAGTACACGGTCTGGCGAAAGCAGCCGATGCGTATTGTAGGAATGAGCGAACGCATCTTGGTGATCGACGGCGAGTACATTCACATCATGCCAGCCTCGGGCGGCAAGGCGTTACACGACGGCGGAGGCAAAACAACAACAGTGCACTTCAGCAATGTGGTAGGATGCAAAGTGCCTCGGAAGCACCCCACAAATGTCAAGGTAAGTTCATGCTGATGCTCATCTATCTGATGTCAAGGTCATGTGTGATTCTGACGACGTACCAAAAATAGCTGGTGGTGTACAAGGCGACGGAGAGCAAACGGTACGATTTCGAGGCGCGGAGCACGCTAGAGGCAGCAGAAATTGTGGAAGAGCTCAAGAAAGGCATCTCACCATACCGAGATGTCTGAGAAGGATTGCAAATGGATGCGCGGGTGGGTTGAGTACGTGGTGTCTCACGATGACCTTGGAGATCGGCGTTTGGGGGCTGACAGACGGGACGGGCTGTGGCAGTGATTGCGGCTATTCACAACGGCGTTGGTTGGATATGACATTACAGGCCAGCTGGAGAGCCTTGATGACGCAGGTAACCAGGACTTTTTGTTGGAAATCTCGCACCCCATTCATCTGTGGCCTCGGTGGCTCATGAGCTCGAACCGACCTCGAACGAGCCCGGTGCTTGGCCCAGCCCCCAGCCTGGTGAGGGAACCACTTTGTTGAGGGGAGTGCGCGTGGCGGAGAGGCGATTCCTGTTTGGAATGGACGTTGAAGCGGACGGGCATTCAATGTCTCACTAAAGCGCGGCCCCCGTGCATCTCGATCAGGGGCCATTTCACGCAGATGAGGGTCAAGGCTGAGAACTAGGCCCCATCCATGGCTACTGAGAGCAGGACTGGTGCAGGCTTGGCTCGCATTGGCCAAGCAACAGGCCAAGGCAGCGGAATAACGACATTGGCGATCGATAGTGCCAAGCCGGGGACATGGCAACGGGATTGTCATGGGGCTCGAAGAGAGCGGTGGACGACCTTGTTCAACCACAAGCAGGCAGTCAGAGAGTCCTCGCTGTCGATGTCAAGTCTGCGAGGTAGTTTTATGACCAAGTTTAACTCTTTCTCTCCCAACACAAAAAACACATACAAGTGCTCGGCGCCTGGTCGAGTGGTCAAATCTATATTCCACACCTAAAACCAAACTCTCCTCTCTCTCCGAAAAAAAGGAAAAAAACACACATGGGCTACAACCATGACCACTGACCGGGCGCCATAAAAAACAACCATAAAAAACAACCACCACCACCACCACAACCGGAGAGAGAGTTGAAGAGTAAAAAAAAATCTACAGCCCATATTTTTGATATTGAGCATTTCACTTCCAGGTCCCGGTCTCTTTTTGTTGATCATTCACCTCTAAGATACAAATGCTGCGACTTTAATGTAAAACCCGGGGAGTGTGACAACGGTTTTTGTTCGTGGCGTCAGCCAAGCAAGACAGGGGGGAAGAAGCAAGCAAAAGCAGGCAGGCTGCGGGGAGATGGTCAAGGGAGGATCACTGCTGCAGAGAGTGATAGCCGGTGAATGAAATGTCTAATGAGCCGTGCGGGATGATCTTAAGTGATGGCAATTGCATGATGGGATTGAAGGATGTGGGATGATCCCCGAGACTGGCAGTGCTTGTTGTTGATCTGGAGCATACCTACCTCGAGACAAGAGACGGGCATGGATTTGTTAAGCATCCATTGGAACTCTGGTCTGCTCGTCTAGGTTGCATGTCGCGTGCCGCGCGTTCAGGTACAGGTACTGCAGGCGGAAGGCCCTGGAGATCGATCCATCAGCCAGACCAGAGAGGCACGTCTCGTGTAGGGCGGGCTTGGCCGTTGGTTTCTCCTCCAAATAGCAGCGGTCTCGCCTGGAACGAAAGGCATTGCTGTCAGGGTTCTGTGCTGGGTTGCAAATCAACGTCGCATACCGCTGACAATCCCAGCGTGCTGCTTTCCCTTGAAGAGATGGACCTTGCCTCCATACCTACTTATCCCTGAGAAAGTCCTGGAGCTTCCACAGCCTACAGGAAATAGTCCTGCCCTGCCCCAGAGTCATCGGTCGATCCCCAGGACGCTAGCGGCAACTGGCGCTTCTCGAACAGCGAGCTCCTTGGGGGAACACGACAGGACGGGAACGGCGAGGATGGCAAGTGTCTCTTGTCGGCTGGTGTGTGATTGGTGGATGCCCCAACAGGGCTTTGAACGAGGCTTGTTTCGGGTGTGAGAGCTGCTGACTGTAATATGTGAGTTGGCAGTCGGCTGTGAGTGAAGGGAGGAGCTGGATCTTTCATGCAATGCGATGTCCGCCCCTTGAGAACAAGATTGCAATGTCTTTGATGGGGATCTAGACTGAGAATGATTCAGGTACAAGCTCCGCTTGATTCACTCGTTGTCGATTGATTGTTTGTTCAAAGGCTTGCAGCAATATTACACAGTATAACGGTGCAGCAGAGCATTGAGAAGGAAGCTCCCTGGTACCTGCTACGTAGTGGGTAACTACAAAGGATGGAAGGTACCTCTGAGAGAGCACTTGACATCCATTGAAAGTGTGGGGTTGGCTGTTGGCCTCTCCACTGTGACGCAAAGACCCGGCTCCCATTACGCGATGGCCTTTTTCTCCACCTACATCCAACAACTTGCACTATTCGATTGCTGCTGTCATGTCAGCTCGAGCTCTCAAGCCAAGCAAGACAACCAAGGCATTCTCAAACGCCAGGGCTCATTCTGCAGCAGCTGCTCACTAGGCCATGACCTTATCCCCTTTCAAGCAAGCATTTCGGGCTCGGCCTCGCCAACTGACTTTTCCCCCTCCCAATCAGAGCCTCATGGCTAATGGCGACTTCCGACGGGGGACGCTCACCCCCTGTTACAATGGGGCCAAAGCATGATGAATGATGATGTTACCGCTACTGGCTACCTTGAACGGGAGATGTCCCGGTGAGCAATTCCTGTTTTGGGTGAGATGGATCTTGCAGCTTCATGTCTGAAAGCCGTTGCTTCACCATTTCCAGGTTTTCCAGCATCGGAAAACGGCACGGTGACAAGACAAACCAAAGCGAGCCAAAGCAAGGTACCAACGAATCAACCGTTTTCTTGGCTTTTTGGTACAATTCAGCACGGTGAACGCAGCTAGGATGGATTGACTTTTGCGGTCTGCACCGAAGCTTCGAGGTTTTGGCTCGTATGAGGCTGCCTGAAATGGATGACAAAGTGCTCCTCAGATCGACTAGCTTGTGGTTATTTCCGGCAACAGCATCGTCAAGGGAGAACCGAACTCAACCCAAATGTGAGACGGACCGGCATGGCCTCACTCGTCTCCCTAGGAGGCTGAGTCGTTGACTCTCAGCTGAAGCCACAGGCTGTTCCTCGAGACAGCTCGGCCATGTGTCTAGGCCCCGAAGGGGGGGGGAGTGGGAGGGTACCGGTACAGAAAGCTCTGTTCCGTCGTCTAGACTGACATCAGTCAAGTGTCAGACACCCATGCACCGATCGATGGTCCCGACAGGCCTCTCTTACCATGCTCCGAGCCCCCCAGAGGAATAGCGGAGACTCCGGGGCTGAAGGGGGCGTGGCCGTATAGTGTTGACGAGCGTCCATGCAAGATGCCATGGCCTGCTTGGCCGTCCATAAAACGTCCTGTCCTCCTGTTGTTTCTGTGTTCCTGTTTCCTGTCTTCCTCTCCATCCACCGTTGTTCAATCTCAGCTCAGACTAGTACTCTTGTTGTCGATATCATTCACTCAGAACTCAAACCCTTCAACACTCTCACTACTTACACAACACCGTCACAATGAAGTACTCTGCTGCTACCGTCTTCGCCATCATGGCTCTTGCCAAGGTATGCATTACACATGGGCTGTTCGAGATACAGCTGTTAACATGATATACAGGCCCAGTCCGTCTCCGTCCCCGGTGAGGATGCCGTTTCCTCCATCATCGGTGATGTCAGCAGCCGTGTTGAGAGCATCGCCTCTGAGGTCTCGAGCCGAGCTGCCGATGCTTCCGCCGGTGCCTCCTCCATCGCCGAGGAGATCTCCTCCCGTGTTGCCAGCCTCAGCAGCGCCGCCACTGCCACTGGTGCCTCCGAGACCGTCACTGAGACCGGTACCGAGACTGTGACCGGCACCGCTACTGACGAGACCGAGACTGGCACCGCCACCGATGAGACCGAGACCGGTACCGAGACTGGTACTGAGACCGGCACCGAGACCGGAAACACCGCCGACACTGCTGCCATTGCCAGCAAGACCAGCGAGCTCGGTGACCGTATCGCCAGCCTGAGCTCCAAGGTTGCCGACGCTACTGGCTCAGATGCCGCCTCGATCAGCTCCGAGATCGCCGCTGCTACCTCTGAGATCGGTGCTCTCGCCAGCAGTGCCACCGAGGGCAACTCTGGTGCCATGCACACTGCCGCCATCGCCATGGGTGCTCTCTTTGGTGGTGCCGCCGTCATTGTCAACATGTAAAGAGTTGATTACTTTTGAATTTCTGTCTTCACATGCAAAGCCAAGCGGGAATGAAAACGTCGAACGGTCAACTCTTTTTATTTTCTCTTTGTACACGCCATACAAAAACAACACCAAAAAGGGAGTCTCCCTCGCCTGTCCAAACCCCAGCCAATCCGATGGATGCAAGAGGGGTGTGGCGGGAACTCGGGATTTAATCATCTAGCGCGGGAGCAACTGCCGCTAGAGGGGATGGAACCGGTTTATTTACAGTAACTTTTAGAGGTGGACTGAGATGAGATTGGAAGTATGGGGGTGGATAACTTTGTAACGTTTTATATCATTAACAAGAGAAGGGTTTTACTCTTTTATTCACTCATGTCCGAAGCCTTGATTACTCTATTTTAATGCATGATGAGGCGTTGTCCATAATCCTTGCCAGCCATGTACCAATGACGATCCCCCAGACTTGTGCATGGCATGGGTGTTGGCCCGGTTTACCGACCTTTGGTGTTGTTTCACTGCCCCTAGCCTGGCCCAGCATCATCCACTTGGCCGCTGACACGGGACGTGCATACAATAATCGCATAGCATAGCATTGCACCGCATCACCCATGACGTCCTGGAAGCTCAATGAATACGAGAGGCGACGTAATCCTTTGCCTTCCTTCCATAGTACACCGCATGAACAAATTCCTCTTTGGTCTTGATTGGCTACACCGTAGCTAACATTCATAATAAGATCTCGTTTCACCTATTCCCCCATCTGGTGAAACATTAGCATCAACAAACACACATTCATTCCTCACAAGTGGCGATGCCTTCACGAGCTTTTTTGTGATTAATTAATTACCTCCTCTCGTCTAAAGGGGGCGTGTAGGAATGTTCTCGTGATCCTCTTTTTTTTTTTCATTTTCTTGCTCAGCCTCAATATCATTACCGAGTACGAACAACATTCCTTGGACCGAAATACGATCCGAATTCCATGCGTCTTGTCATTCTGAAACAGGACCCTTGGGTCAAGCTTATTTTCATTTACCTCGTATGTGTGTCTATCAACATACATGGGGTATAACTGCCAGCAGCAACGGCCTCCTTGGCATTGCTTCGTATACACATCTAAGCTTTCTGCGCCACGATCCCGAGATGATAAACACCTGAGAGAAGACCCTGCAGGATGTAGGCAGCACTCGCTCGACGCCGTTTCTTCCATTCTCGTCCCCAAATATAACCAAACTTGTTCAAAAGGGTATCACACTACTCCATCCTCAAGCCTTGGGCCGGCTATCTACCCAGAGTCTATCAATGATCTGAAAGACAGCCGTCACCCCCTTCATCGTATCCTCATCTACCTGGCCTCCCAGCTTCTGCTGTATCTTGTCCGGATGCCACCGCACACGCTCGTCCTTGAGCTGCGCCACAAACGCCTTTTCCCCAATCTCTTGCGGATTCAGTCCGTTGACTAGAAACTTGCGCACAGCGGCTTCGTCGACGTCCTCCCGACGACCGCTCTCCACGGGCCATGCGAGCGTCGCCCGGGTTCCGTCCCAGGCTGTCCAGGCGGAAATGTAGTCTTCCCATAGTGTTATCCATCTTCGGCGTTGTCTGCGTTCCTCACCGCGACGTAGACTGCGCTCCATGTCCTCTTGTAGTTTCTGCGCAAGGCGATCTTCCTCTGCTTTGCGTTTTCTTGCTTCTTCTCGGCGGGCACGTTCTTCTATTAGTCCAGCGTGTGTCTTTTCCCACATCTTTTGACGCACATGGGCAGCGTACTCTTCCTCCGTCATCTGCTCCAGATAACCCGTAGGACCAACGCGCTCGTTGGAGTAGACGTGGATTGGTTGACCGTAGACGCCTTCCCAGTATGCGGCACCCTCGTCGTCGGCCATGGCGTCAAAGAGCGACTCGCGGAAAGCAACCTCAGGGTCGAGAGGTTCTGGTTCGTGGGGATTGGGCGGGGTGGGAGAGCGATGCCGTCGACGGTGTCGATGGTGGTGACGATGCGAACGCCTGTGAGAATCATGATGGTCGCGGTGCCGGTCTCGAGACGTACGACGAGATCTATGGTGATCCTTCAACCGGAGACGCGAGCGCCTAGGCCTTGTACTATCGGCATCATTGTCGCGATCATCGTCGGGGCGTTGTGACGTCGGACTCGGCGATGGCTCCCTCTTGACGTCGTCACGGTCCGGTGATGCGCTTCTCCTTCTGGACCGAGGTTTGTCGGGGTTGATGGAGGAGAGGATGTGGCGTCGTCGAGGGGACTGCTGAGCTTCGCTCATTATTTGGTGGCCATCAAGTTGGTGACATCGAGTCCAAGACGTTGGTTCTAAGCTTGAGGTTGATGATTGATGTTGAACTTGGTGGGGTTTCCTGCATGTGCCTTGTCGCCCCCTGCCACCTAAGGTACGCCACAAGAGGGCGCACCAATCAGCATCCATCCCCCGTGGTGAACTAAATTGCACTGCAATTTTAACCCAGCCCAAGAGGCAATACGGGTTGTTCATGGACCATGCGTACGTCGCTACATGCATAGTGCTGTCTTGTTTTTCAGGCCAATCCATCAAGTAAGAAATTGGGGTATTCAAGATGGTTTCAGGTGCACAAGAGTAGGCAGTTAGTTTATGGGTTCAATTACCAAGATCCTAGAATTAGAATGCAATGCTGCAACAAGAGCGCAGGCAATTCTCAACGGCAAAATCGAGTAGTCCAAGGTGACATTTGTGTTTCCTTTACTTTAGCAAAGATCACAGAAGACAAGATCGCAACAGTTCGGGAGAAAATAGGCGCTAAGATAGACATGGCCAAACAGTGAATACCCTCAAGCGAGAACTCCTCGGGGGCAACTAGGCGATCAGCACATTGTATCTCCTCAAGTTCAGACATCATATTCGATGGCTATAAATCGCTATAGACAACCTTGCTCTTAAACGCGAAACTGCAGCCTGCTGTATTCGGGTGAGTCCTGGAGAAGATGCATGACCCTTCGGCCGCATCATGGTCGGCCCTTTCTCTACAATGAGACCTAGAAATCCGCTCGCTAGAGAGGTTCAACAGAAGCGATTCTTTGACGGCTTTAATGTCTTCTTTAACATCTCTTTCCGTAGATAGGCTTTCCGGTGGCAGGCAAAAGGGGCACATCAAGGCAAAATCTGTGCCTTGGGCAATTGAGCCTAACCAGTCTAGCAGAACCAAGGTGCCAGAAAGAAGCGCAGATTTCTTCGTTCCAAGTGATTGATTCAATTAAATAAAGCTTCTCGCACATTCGTACTACAGTATCTGCTCTCGAGCTCGTTACTATTCCAACCTCTCTCGTCTGCTGTCTGCGGTGTCCCACCAGGCATACCATGGATTATTGGTGTACAGAGAATCAAGTGGCCAATACTTTTTTTATCACGTTAACAACAATTCAATTGATGGGCCAGTCTTAACATCGCAACCCAAGGGTGCCTCCAGGGGAAAGGAGTCATCAGTATGCTGCAAAGGGTGGATCAACCCAAGTGAGTTGGTGGTTCTAGATGCCAGGACTTGGTAAGCCTGTTTCCATCATCCAACTACCGTTTAGGGCCAATAATGAGGTCCACGGACCGTGTCTTGATGTAGCAGTATGACCTGCTAACTATAAGTCTACGGGCAGGATGTGTATAAGAGCTCGCAGGCAGTTGCTACGAAGCAACGTAATTATCTACTCAGAGCTAACATTCTGGTTAGTTAGATAGTGCACGTGTCAAAGTCTCGGTATTTCAAGTATTTGAGGCAGTATGAGCCTCCACATTGTCTAAACGTACCCAATACGTACCATTTTATGCAGATTGATCATATGCCTATGTGTCTTCCTTTTATCCATCAAGTCCAGAATGACTGTAAGTGGTTTCATTGACTGGAGGCCAAGAATCACGTATAGAGTCAACACCTAGCAGGGATAAGGACGACTATGTTCAGGGTATTAGATAAGTTGAACGCGGGGTATTTCTCTCACAGTCACCGAGATTGTATCACTTTCACTCCAACTCCTTCACATTGCATTCTTCGGTTGGCCAATCTCCCTAGACGTATCTTGAGAAAGTCATGGAGAAACAACATGCTAATACTTTCGACTATGACAACTATTCCCTGCCCTCGGCAGCAACCCACATCCGCTTAATCGAACTGCTTCCATCAAGTTCAGTCGCAACATCCAAATCAGCCGACCATGAATTCTCCAGTCATCTTTCGTGTAACCTCACAATCACACCAATATTCGAACCAAAGGCCTACAAAGCAGTCTCATATACTTGGGGCACGTCTGAGAGAACATGCTCACTCGACATCTCGGGGACCAACCTACCTATCACTCCTGCACTTGACACAGCTCTCCGACATCTCAGGAGACGGGAGGAACCTATTATTCTATGGGTTGATCAGATCTGTATCGATCAGAGCAACCATGCTGAGAAAGGAGATCAAGTGCTCCTCATGTCCGACGTCTACACCAAAGCCGAGCAAGTGTTGGTCTGGCTTGGACCTGAGGCCGACAGATCTGATGAGTTGATGGATCTATGGCAGGAAGTTGGGCAACTAGCACTGAACCTAGGAATTCAAGACTACTTTACGAGGGAGCGTATACCTTTGCTGCAAGACATTATCAAGGATCCCAAATTCGATCATCCTCTTACACAAGGCTATCACGAGCTTGTCGACTTGGCGCGGCCACGCTTCGAAGATCTCTTACAGGCGACAGTTGATTGGCACGACAGGTTCTGGTTCCGTCGAGTCTGGACAGTTCAAGAACTTTGCCTTTGTCAGGACACGGTGTTTGTCTGCGGCTACAAAGTAGTCCAGGGAGAGCTCGTTCGATTAGCTTGCAACATCCTGTCAGCAGCGATAAGTCAGTTAGTACGAAGTCATCCAGATTCAGATACCGAGTTTCAGGAACTCGCGTATGCAGCCTTGAGCCAACGTGCTAGGCCTCTCCTCAGCATACGGCATCGCAGGCAAAACTGTAACAAGGGTCTCGGAGAAGGAGACGAGCTACTTCATTTATTTCAAAAGCTGTTTGTCAATAGTGACACGATGGCGACGCGGAACCGAGACCGCATATATGGGTTGTTGGGTCTGGCTGTTGATGCGGAGAGGCTTTCCATTAAACCAGACTACGCTTCTGAAGACCCGGCGCCTATTTTCACCAAAGTGGCCCGGAAGGTGATTCGGAACGGGCGAGTAGAGTTTTTATCGTTCTCGCAGTTTCCAAAAGAACACGATCTAGAGCATCTCCCGTCTTGGGTGCCTGACTGGAGGCCAAATCTTGAGTCCTCTTTCTACACCATTTACGAGAATGGAGAGGACCATCTTTTAGCTGCTTCAGGGGATACCAAGGTCTGCCTTGAGCCAGTCCAGGATCCCAACATCTTGGCTATCAAGGGTTACATGATTGATACGATTGAGGAGGTAGGCGAGAGATGGCATTCCTCGAATTCACACGCTCTGTGTCAAGTCCATCTATCCCGTATCGTGGACTTTTGCGCCAAATCAACTGCCAAGAACGAGCCTATTTACGACAATGACGAACGACGAGCCGAGGCAGTTTGGCGAGTGCCTGTTGGAGACTTGTACTGGACCAAGGATACACCAAACGCTCGTGCTAGCCGCTCACTCGCAAGCGACCAGTATCTTGACTGTATTTTTGTCCTTGAGCTACTGGAATCATGGCCAGACATGACACCCGAGGAGCGAACAGCACGTTTTCCAGAACTTGAGGCACGGAGGTTCCCATCTGGCTCGTATAGGGGTAACATGGCTGCCATGGATGGGAAGAAGCCATATTTGACACGGAAGGGATATGTTGGCATGTGTCCAAGTCACGCAGTTGAGGGGGATCAAGTTGTTATCTTTATGGGAGGAAGGATCTTGTATGTGTTGCGGCCATTGGAGGGCAGTGAAGAGTTTACGTTTGTAGGTGAGGCATATTGCGACGGGGTCATGGATGGAGAGATTCTGGAGAGAGCCGAAGAGAGGTTATTTTTGATTAGATAAATATTCTAGAGATTTCAAGTGTCTATGCTCTTGGCTATCGAGGTTTAGTTGAAGACGTAGGGTAGACGAAGCTGGGATAAGTTGTTGACCATAGTAGAGCTCCAGGTCTATGCCTTTATCTAATGTATTGTCTGTCTTGATCATGAAACGAATAAGTATTATGCTAATTAGTAATTGAAGAACCTATTGTGTCCAATTCGCTACTGGCATATTCGAATGGTTGCGGGTTTCGCTCCTTATGCCCAATTACCTATTGTACTCTGGCACTAGTTTAAAGACAGAGGGAAAATACCTATCACACCAACAAGACTCTTGGCATATACATGCCTGGCTTATATGGGTCTTGATGCAATGTTCAAATGAATGCTAAAAGGGACACTGTAAGGGCGTGTCTTTATCCTGGACCATTTCCTCACTCTGGGGTTGCTATCGTATAAGAGAAGGGTACTGACGGGAATTCGGCAAGGATGCCTTGAGTGATAATGAATGCCAACTATCCGAATCCCGTGAAAACCCGGATGCACAACCCCCTGCCTATTCCTACGTCAAGGTAGACCAACTCATAGAGTTCGAAGTTGGAGTTGACAACGGGAATAACTCAAACGTGGGGATATTTATAGAGGCAACTCTCCCACAAGCCACCTAAACGCAATTGACTAGCGTTCTCTTGTGTGGATGCGAAGAGTATTGTTTATATCAACGCCGTTGGAAATAAATTGCACATTTATGGAAAACACATGGCTGGGCGACTTGAATGTCAGCCTCCCTGGAAGGTAGAAGGAATTGAATAGTCAGCCACTTTTACACATCCATGATGGTGCCAGCCATTGAGCCATTGTACTTGGCCACATTAATGATAAAAAAAATCTCCTATTCAATATAATGATAAGGTCTCCGAGGCCTCAAAGTTTGTAATCCAACCGTCGTCAGTAGCTAATCTACTAGAGACGAATGGATGGATCTAATAGATGCAAGGAACCCGACCTTTTCTCTAGTCCAACCCTTGCACTTTTTAGCGGCTCCCAGAAGTGTAAATGCCCCTGACTCCAGCAGGTTTTATTGCCTCTAGGGGGCACTCTTCAGGGTCTCAAGTGCCCCGCATCGACCAATCGACAGCCTCCAAATCGCTCGCAGGGCTGGGCTGAACGATCCTCCATCCCTCTTTGCCAGTTCAGTCAATCCCATCCCATCCTACACAATCTTTTGACGGGATACCCTCATCCTTTCTCGCCTTTCGCCCTTGCGTCTTTGCCTGCTCTTGCCATAGGCGCATAGCGGCAAAATCTTACAAGACGGGGAACTCTTGCCCGACGCATCATGCGCAGATAGCGCCCATAACCTCTTCCAGCATTGGTTTTCGTCTGCGCAACCTCGATTCTAGCTTGGCATCCATCAGATAACAATCATGGGAGGCATACTATTGCTCCTGGGACTATGTGTGAGTTGGCTCTCTCTATGCGCAGATTACCCCTCGGTGTAGAGGCTGACTGTAGATCTATAGGTCATCATGGCTTTGGCGTACGTTCGATCGTGATCCCCGAATTCGACATCATATCCAGCGCTAACCCATCCAACAGCTCGTTCCTCGCCGGAGCGCTGCCGCTGTCCATGTCACTATCACAGTCCCAGCTCCGCCTACTCTCGAGCGTCGGCGTAGGCATCTTGGTCGGCACATCGCTCATCGTGATTATCCCAGAGGGGATTGAGGCCGCCGCCGCGCCTGCTGAGGCCTCGCACATGCACAGAGTCCGAAGCTTGGTGCGCCGAACCCCCTGGAGCCACGCCATCCTCACACGTGGCCTCCCCGACTCAATTCCCACCGTCAGCACGCTTTCCAGCCGCGATCGCGCCGACCCCGATGCCATTGTGCGCCGTCTCGTAGACTCTGCGGCCGAGAATGCCCAATTGCCCCGGTCCGATGTCAAGGCCGCAGTCGAAGCCCCTGAAGCGCCCACGACCGGCGATACCACCACCAAGGACGACACCACGAGCGATAAGGAAAATGACAAGGCTGGGAGTGAACATAAGAGCGGTAGCAGCGACGACGAGGACCTTCAGGAGGACCACGATCACGAGCATGAGCATGAGCATGCAGTCCCGACTTTTGAGATTGGCTTCTCCCTGATCCTGGGTTTCTTGCTCATGTTCCTTATCGACCGACTACCACGACATGCGACAGAAAGCCTCCACTCTGTGCCCCAGATGAGGCACATCAGCCTTGACAACTTGAATGGCGATTCTGCTTCTGTGGATGAGGAGGCGGATGGTTTCTTGGGTTCACTGACGCCAACCCCGCGACGCGCGCGAAGCTTGGCCACGACCACTGGACTTGTCATTCACGCCGCAGCCGACGGAATTGCTATGGGTGCTTCATCGACAACTACAGACATGAAGCTCGGTTTCATCATCTTTGTCGCCATCATGATCCACAAGGCTCCCGCCGCCTTTGGTCTTACCTCCCTCCTCCTGAAGCAGGGTCTGTCGAAGCGAGCTGCGAGGGGTCACCTCATTGTTTTTAGCCTGGCCGCTCCTTTCGGCGCCATCATTACATGGCTCATCATCACCTTGTTAGGTGGTTCCAAGGTTGAGGGCGACCACTGGTGGACAGGCATGCTGCTCCTCTTTTCAGGAGGCACGTTCTTGTAAGTCGATCCTCTCACTCCTACCATGATAGCAAGCAGCTAACCAAGGCCAGATACGTCGCCATGAATGCGATGCAAGAGGACAATAGTGTTCATAGCCATGGTCATGGCCATGAGCATGGCCTCAACGGCTACGCAGATAGCAATGGCCCTGCTCAGCGGAAACCCAAGGGTCCGCAAATGCGTGATACCTTGGCCACCATCGGCGGAATGCTGGTGCCGCTTCTAACACAGTTCGGGCACCACCACTGAGCGAAATGATATCCTTTCCCTTTCCTGCGTTGCTGCGGTGTTTCTGGGTGGGTTAAAACGACGCGGCAGCAGAGATGTCGGCTATATGAGGCCGTTTTCATTTTTCTTGTTCCTCTTCTTTCAGTTGGGCCGGCGAGCCCTTTTCAAATGATACGGAAACGGGTCAGAATAGATTCATGAGCGATTCTCGAGGCGATAAAAGTCGAGCTGCGGATAGGATGTATACGAACGACATGGGCCATGTAGAACACCTTGGGTATTGGTGACTGTATGACTACCTAGACCTTCGAGATTCAATATAAAATGTCGAGTTTTATGCCAAGGTCTGGGTTCCACTCACAGATATGAGCCCTGCAATTCGAGGGAGCTCCTGTCAAAATTGGTGGAACATTATCCGAAAAGAAGGGATTTCATGAAGCTAGGGTGTTGCTTGCTAGTTCGTTGAATCTGCGTTTCAAGTGAGAACCTCGTCTCCAGACATCCCCAGAATGGCCAGGATAGGGATCATGAAGGTAAGAGGTTTGTTCTAAGTATAGACCACGCGCTTCAAGATGGCGTGACAATCTTGGATGGCGCTTCTGGCTGTGCATCCATGAGACGGGAAATGATAGATGAAGGAGGATGGTCTGTGTTGGTGTATTCGATTGGAGAAGAGGGAGCGTGGGAGGTGAAATTAATGTCCGAAATTGGGAATGGTTCTTGATGTAAGAATCCAATGGATCCATATGTCTTGTGTGGAATCAGACGGAGGCCTGGAGTTGGTCCCTGTCGAAAAGGGCGAAGAGTCGATAATCAAGGAGATTAACCTGTCAAGTCAGATAAAACAGGGAGCACCAGCCAAGCCAACTGTTCGGCCAATTCCGGCTATCATGGCATAGCCCGTGGTCCGTTTCGACACTAGCAATCGTGAGAATTGCAAGGGGCTCAGGCAAGGGTGAGACGGAAACGACGCAGGTTTCCAAGGCATTGCGTGAAGCAGACCGGCACATGCGCAACATGGTGTTGACGCCATCAGAGTATCCGTATTTCCATGCTCTCTTCACGTACCGCGGTTTCGGTCAGGCTCAAGGCAGGACGACGTCAGAGGAGTTGAGCTTGCGATGTGGTGGCTTGCGCTAGGTGTTTGACGGGAGATGGCATTCAGCTTGTGTGTTAGAATAAGAGATGACGGTCAATTCAGTCTCCTGCATTCGGCATGAGTGAAGCAACTAGTTCCACGTAGTATCCGTAATAGTTCTTGCTGCTGCTAATCCTTGAGTAGCGTGAGACATTCCGACATGGAACGTTGGACGAGATCTTGAGTTGAGGAGGTGTTTGATTGATGCGGGTGGGATCCAATCTTGTCTTGTCATGAGCCACCCAAGGCGTCACATCCCATCACATGGCTAAACTCGAAAGGGGATTTATCGCGATGCGGAGAAGGACCATTGGAAGTTGGCATCTGACTTCCACGAAACTTGGAACTTGTTGTCGGAATTGGATTCTACTTGCATCGCATCGATTACAAGCCGGCCCGCAACTACCTAGCTGCCGTTAGTCAGTCAGTCACCAGCTCCCTCGTCTGCATGTTTAGTTCGGACAGAGCGACATCAGCCGTTGAGCCTGCTGATGAAGAAAATTGCCTCCAGAGTCATGAGCAACTGACTGTATTGTAGATGCCCGGCCCGCACCGAGTCAGATGCTGCTTGCTTTCGAATGGGCTGAAACGGCATGCCCGGTTCTGGTGCTGCTGTAAAAGCCAGGAGCCACGGCTGCCCCTCGCACGGCCTCTACCGCGCAGGAACCAACCTTGACTGAACCAATTGAAACATGGGGACGCGGCCGAGCGCTGTGGGCACCCTCATGCGGATGGATCTGAGGGTAAGGGAGGGAGCCGCTGGCGGAAGGCCGCTAGTAGCAGAGGGCTCCGTTTCACCGTTTTGGATGGACGGATGGAAGTCGAGTCGTCAGCGTCTTGTACTCGGTGTAAAGTCTGTGTAAACTGTGTTGTATGTAATAGCAGAAACATGCAGACGCCAGGCGGCCAAGATACATATCCAATAAATGTTTTTGTTCTTTCTTTATTGCATAAAAAGTAGTATATGAGACAGGGGAATGCAAAGCAAGAGCAAGGCATGAAAGTTATGGGAAAGAGTAGGTGTTCTCTCGGTCCTTCCCCTGTGTTCACATCTATTACATGCCTCCTACTGAAACCCCTCTCATGATCAAACTTGGATTCTTCACAATCTAACCCATTCAAACAAAACACCTGAAAACAGACACAGCTCCTACAAGAAAGGAACTGTCGCTGTTGGCCTTCTTTTTTGGTCCTTTCGGCGTTCGGGCCCCCATTCGTTTCATTCATTCACTGAATCACTGTTCGTCCCTCCAATCAGCCACCTCACTCCTCTCCGCCTCGTCTTCGCCGCCGCATCCGTTGAATGCTCTCGACAACAACAAAGGCCCTTGTTTACCTCGTCAAGGCAGACACGGACAGACAAGACAAACCCACTGGTAAGACACTATTCACCCGCGAACTCAAGCCCTGGCAGCCAAGTTGGCCACTCGCCGGTCACGGCCACAGCCGGCATGACCCTGTTGGGAAATAAACGGAACAAGAAGACAGGCACATGGTGCAACGATGCAAGGGAGCCGCTGGCGGGACGGAAGGCTGGGAGACGACCTGAACTGTAACGGATTCCGTTTAGCGCCCCCTCGATGCCGCCATCGCCTTCACCCTCGTCCGACCCACGCCCCAGGTCATCAGCCAGTCCCAGGCCCAGTAGCAAGCCAAGATTGGGATCCCAGAAGACAGCCCAGGCATTCCCGTCCCCGTCCCTGTAACCGTCTGCCCGTCTCTCCACCATCTCCAGTGACCTTCGCCATTCACCGTTCGTTTCTGCTTCCTCCATCCCGCTCCCGCTCCCGTTCCCTCTTCGATATCCCCGGCCTTTGCCTGTGGCCCCGTTGACTCGTTGCCCTTCTTCACTCTCATCCGACGTCTTGAGCAGTGATCAAGTTTTGTTCTACATGTGCTGACACCTCCCTTGATCGGTTGGCATAGGCGCTCCTCTCTTCTTCCTCTCCGCCCCCCCACTCCTTCTCCATCTTCGACATATCCTCGACATCGACCGTACCAGTTCCGCCCATCCGCCTGCATCGCGCTCCTCGACTCGGCTCTCCAACATCCCTAGTGTTCATACATCGATCCTAGGCGATCCCTCTCTAGGGCGACGGGCCGGGCCATGGCCGGTTACCAGCGACCCATGAGTTTTTCTGAACGTCGAGGAAGCGCCCTCAGCGACGACCTGACTCTCAACACAACTACTAATCCAATGATTAACCACCGCTTGGAAAAGCTGCCTCAGCAGCAACGGCACTTGCGCGGGCCTCCTACTCCGAGCATGTCCACGCCCGCTGCCGACTTTGACCAGCAACTCACTGGTTCTCCTCCACCGCCTCCGACACCTGCTGCATCACCAGGACCATCGCATTTCCAACCAGACTGGAGCGATGCCGCAGATGATGAGGACTTCTTCCTCGCCAAGGTTCGCCAGCACTTTAAGAACTGTTCTGGCCCCCAGCGGACCCGCGTTCTCGCAGACTTGCTCAATCTCTGCACCAGTCAGCAGTTGAGCTTCGTCCATCAGTTTGTCAGCCCTCTGCTTAAGAAGGATCCGTTTACAAGCCTCCCGGACGAGCTATGCCTTCGGGTATGATAAAAATAAGAAGCCTTGTGGTGAAAAAAAATTGAACTAACATTGGAATGCTCAGATCCTGTCTTTTATCGATGATCCCAAGGTATTGGCCCGGGCCTCCCAGGTGTCGAAACGATGGCGAGATCTCCTCAGCGACGACATGACATGGAAGAACCTCTGCGTCAAGCATGACTACGGCCGGAGACTGTCCGAAGTCTACACAAGTGCCCCCCAATTTGCTTCACGGCTGGCTGCTCAGGCCTTCAATGGAATCGATGCCGACATGGCCAGCAGCAGTTTCCCCGGCGCACGTTCCCTTAATTCTTACAGTATGGGTACACGAAGTCATGATGGAACAACTAGGCCTAGGCTACGGACATACAAATCTCATTTCAAGCAGAGATATTTGGTGGAGGCGGCGTGGAGATCTGGTGGCACCAGCACGACACGGAACATTACCCAGGAAGGTGGTGTTGTTACAAGTCTGCACCTGACGCCAAAGTACATCATTGTGGCACTTGATAACGCCAAGATCCATGTGTTTGATACCGAGGGTGACTCGCAACGAACTTTGCAAGGCCATGTCATGGGCGTCTGGGCTATGGTGCCCTGGGACGACACTCTGGTCAGTGGCGGCTGCGATCGGGATGTGCGAGTGTGGAACCTCAAGACGGGGTGAGTATACATAATGATTTGAGACTCGAATTATACTGACAATGATCTAGCGCTTGCCTCCATACGCTGCGAGGACATACCTCAACTGTCAGGTGTTTGAAGATGGCAGATGCAAACACGGCCATTTCAGGGTCTCGAGATACAACCCTACGCATTTGGGATATCCGGACTGGCCTTTGCAAGAACGTTCTCGTTGGCCATCAGTCTAGCGTTCGATGCCTTGAGATTAAGGGTGACATTGTTGTATCCGGTAGCTACGATACCTTTGCTCGCGTTTGGAGCATCTCTGAAGGCCGCTGCCTTCAAACTCTGCAGGGTCATTTCAGCCAGATCTATGCTATCGCCTTTGATGGCAAGAGAGTCGTCACGGGCAGTCTCGACACCAACGTCAGGATTTGGGACCCGACCTCTGGGTAAGTGTGTCAAGGTACTGGATGTATGATGGCAAGCTAACATGTTGTTGCAGCGAATGCCTTGCCATTCTTCAAGGCCATACCTCACTTGTTGGCCAACTGCAGATGCGCGGAGACACCCTAGTGACTGGTGGATCTGATGGATCTGTCAGGGTGTGGTCGCTGGAAAAGATGTGTCCCATCCATCGTCTCGCTGCCCACGACAACAGCGTTACTAGCTTGCAGTTTGATGATACTCGAGTCGTGAGTGGCGGCAGTGATGGTCGAGTCAAGATCTGGGATCTCAAGACCGGACACCTCGTTCGGGAACTGATCGCACAAGGCGAGGCCGTCTGGCGAGTCGCATTTGAGGATGAGAAGTGCGTTGCCTTGGCCCTGCGCCAGGGTCGTACAGTCATGGAGGTGAGACAACAAACAAATCATGGATCAATTTCGGAAACTAATCGTTATAGGTGTGGTCCTTTTCACCACCTGAAGAAATGCTCTACGACCGCCCTCTTTCTCTTCAGCAGCGGGTGTTGGAAGATGATCCGAACCGGCCATTGAGTGCGATGGCCATCGACTATCGCACCTCGCAACCGACAATGGCAAGCTCCAGTCGCGACCCCCAGGCACAGGATGTCGACATGCAGGATGCCGGCCCATCAACAGCCCCTTTGCAAGGGGGCACGTTCTTTCATGACGATTAACGTGCGAGCTTGCGTACTTGGCCGACACAATACTTCGACGGCCAAGTAATTTAGCAGAATGAGTTCTCTCACAGGACGCTCACCTCTTATGGATTCAACACTCATCATAGGGGCGGATGGGGAAATCCGCCCCAGCATTGTACAATTGGCTTGCTTCAGGTTGTTGTAGAGAGGGTCAAGGCATTTGGGAAGCATGATTACGGCGTTGCTGCATCACCAGGTCAAACTAACTACTATGATCTGGACTTGCATGACATATGACAGCATGAACCAAGGGATTAAGGGAATCGGAGCTTTAGGGACGGATTCGGAGTTGCATCTTCAGAGGCTGGCCTAGGTGGGACCAGGGGCAGTGTATAGCGTGCTGGTGCTTGATATTGCTAGCCATAATACAGATACGGCGCCGTGTATAGACAGGTTAGAAGCCATCCCAAGCGGGGGTCTCAATTCAGATTCAAATTTTGTTTACAAGAGTATGAGAGATGTGAAATTCTGGTACATGTCCTGGGCTAACCTGATTCAAAGCCGTTGAGTCTGCGCACAAATCCGAGACTGGCAAATCCCAGCGTCGGGGGTCGGGGGGAAGAAAAGACGAGGGAAATTGTGGATGGGGGACCCACATCGGAATATGCACCGGAGTACATTACCCCGACGGAATACACGCCACTCTCAGGGTCTAAATTGAAAGAATTGGGAGGAAAAGTGAGAGTTGAGAGGCGGTATTTATATCGAGGGCATCAGAAACATATAGGCATACACATAGACTCACTATAAAAAGGGGATCCCTCCTTCCCAACAGTATCCGGGGCGCCGAAAGGGAGGACCTGAACAAACAGGTGTTTGTCACGTGTGGGAAAACTAGACCTATTCTGGCATAGTCTTGACCAACAAGCAAGCTCAACGCTCAACACCGCGACTTTTTCTGAGCTCCATCCAGCCAAGTCGTCGTTATCTACTCGACAACGTCCTGATCCCAATTGATCCAGAGGCACCTCCATATTCACGATGCTGTCTCGAGCTCTCCGAGTCCCCAGGGCGGTGCCTCTGCGCGCCAAGCTCGCCGCTCCCTCTTATATCGCCGCCCGCTCCGTCACCACCAACGCTGCGTCGGCGTCGCTGAGCCACTCGGTCCCTCAGGTGAGAAAATGCGCCCTTTCCTACACTCGACGGCCCCTCGACGTCGAACCTCTCAACACTCTGTCTACGATCCCGCACTACAAGTCCTATACTGACTGCAATGTCTCCAGTCCGACGATGAGCCTTTCGTCGTCAACCTGAGCGATGAGAGCTTCGAGACCTACGAGCTGGACCCTCCCCCCTACTCCCTCGAGGTTACCAAGAAGGAGCTGAAGCAGATGTACTACGACATGGTCAGCATTCGGTATGCGATTCCTTCTCCCGCTGCGTCTCTGAGTCGCTCTTTCTGATAATCCCGCAGACAGATGGAGATGGCGGCCGATCGTCTGTACAAGGAGAAGAAGATCCGTGGTTTCTGCCACTTGTCCACCGGTCAGGAGGCTGTCGCCGTCGGTATCGAGCATGCCATTACCAAGGCTGACGATATCATCACTGCCTACCGATGCCACGGTTTCGCCCTGATGCGCGGTGCCACCGTCAAGTCCATCATTGGTGAGCTTCTCGGCCGACGTGAGGGTATCTCGTACGGCAAGGGTGGTTCCATGCACATGTTCTACAAGGGCTTCTACGGCGGCAACGGTATCGTCGGTGCTCAGGTCCCCGTCGGTGCTGGTCTCGCTTTCGCCCACAAGTACAACGGAAACAAGAACGCCTCCATCATCCTCTACGGTGACGGTGCCAGCAACCAGGGCCAGGTCTTTGAGGCTTTCAACATGGCCAAGCTCTGGAACCTCCCCGCCCTTTTTGGCTGTGAGAGTAAGTTATGCAACATAGACAATGGCACTGAGCGGGACTAACATAACCTAGACAACAAGTACGGCATGGGTACCTCTGCTGCCCGCTCTTCTGCCCTGACCGACTACTACAAGCGTGGCCAGTACATCCCCGGTCTCAAGGTCAACGGCATGGACGTCCTCGCCGTCAAGGCTGCCGTCAAGTACGGCAAGGAGTGGACTGCTGCTGACAAGGGTCCTATGGTCCTCGAGTACGTCACTTACCGATATGGTGGTCACTCTATGTCGGACCCCGGTACCACTTACCGAACCCGTGAGGAAATCCAGCGCATGCGCTCGACCAACGACGCCATTGCTGGCCTCAAGCAGAAGATCCTTGACTGGGAGGTCACCACCGAGGATGAGCTCAAGAAGATTGACAAGGAGGCTCGCGCCCACGTCAACGAGGAGGTTGCCATTGCTGAGGGCATGGCTGTGCCTGACCCCAAGCCCGAGATTTTGTATGAGGACACCTACGTCAAGGGCAGCGAGCCCCAGTACCTTCGCGGCCGAATCCTTGAGGAGAACTACTACTTCCAGTAAGAGGTGGAGGACAAACCCGTATCAAATAATGATTCCAGCACTTGTTGCCTGTTGTAATATACATCCATGACTATCTAGAAAGAGGCCTGGGATTGGTCCGAAAATGGAGGGGTGAGGACCCAGGAATACTTTATGTGACTTAATGGATGTTTTTGTCTTGGCGTTGCGCATGATGTTCTTATGTTGTAGAATTATCATGATCTCTTTAGTCGGTGCATCTCGGCCCATCTCTCCCGAGTTGAGCCGTTCCTGCCCCTCCGGAAATAAGCAGAGGGGTTGGTCGTATTACCGAATCTGGAAGTCGCCGAACTATTGTCATGTGACTGAATCGCGTCGCGCGTTTCAGTCGTAGCTTCCGTAGTCCAATCTACGCGACTTCTGCCTGGCCCGGGCGCGTCATGATTTCAAGCATCAGCTGTGGCCGTGGTCTCACCATTGCCTCTCTCCTTCGCCAAAACACCCTGAGAGTGGCTTCGCGACCTCTTCCAGGCTTTTTCCCGCGTCGTTCTTCGTTGGAATCACTACGGAATTTGTGCATCATGGCACCCAAGCAGGCGACACTCGGGTATGTCAAGTCAGGGCAGAGCACTCTTAAGTGCGTTTGGAGGACCCCTAGAAATTGCATCAATTGGGATTACTGACAGGCTTTACCTTGTTGCAGCAAGTTTTTTGGTGCCAAGGGGGCGGCACCGGTGCGACAGACAACCCTTTCATTCAGCACCAAGGCCAAAAAGGAGGAGGCAGAAGAGGGGGAGGCTGATGTGAGCACGAACGGCTCAAAAGCTGATAAAGGTACAATGCGCTGGAACCACGAATTATTTTGCTCTGGTCTAATTTCATGGACTAGACTCCAAAAAGCGAGCTCGATCAGCCGACAAAAAAGCCGAAGCCGAATCTGCGCCCATTAAGAAGGAGGAGGCTGAGGAAGATAGCGATGGCCCCGTCACCAAGCGTGCGAGACGGTCTCGAAAGAGGGTTGAGGAGGAGGATGACGACATAAGCGACGAACCAGTCAAGAAGAAGACTCCATCTCCCAAGAAGCGCAAATCGGCGAGCCCCTCACCCAAGCCTACACCTACCAAGAAATCCAAAGCCCGAGCTGTCAAGGAACCTGCCGCTGAGGAGGAGGATGAGCCCGTCAAGGATGAAGCATCTACAGCATCGGCTTCAGAGGCAGAAGATGACGCAGAGGTGGAGGAGGAGAAGCCTGAAGTTGCTGCCAAAGCTCGGCAGAAGGCTCAGACAAAGCTCAAGACCAAGACCAAGGAAAAGGATCCCTACCCCGATTGGGAGGCGGGAACACCGGTTCCATATGCGGCTCTCTGCACCACATTTTCTCTTATCGAGATGACTACCAAGCGCCTGATCATTATGGAGCATTGCTCCTTGTTCCTCCGACAAGTCATGCGCTTGACACCCAATGATCTGCTTCCGACGGTATTGCTTATGATCAACAAGCTAGCTCCCGACTATGCTGGCATTGAGCTTGGTATTGGAGAATCTCTCATCATGAAGGCCATTGGCGAGACCACAGGCCGGAGTCTCCAGGTGATCAAGGCCGACCAGAAGGAGATTGGTGACCTGGGTCTGGTAGCTGTGAAGAGTCGATCAACTCAGCGTACCATGTTCAAGCCTAAGGCTCTTACGATCAGGGGAGTCCATCAGGGCCTAATGAATATTGCTACAGTCACCGGAAACGGTGCCCAGGGCCGCAAGGTGGATGGTATCAAGAAATTGCTCGCGGCGGCTGATGCCAACTCAACCGGCAAGGTTGATATCACCAAGGACAAGGGCGGACCAAGCGAGGCCAAGTTCATCATTCGATTCCTGGAAGGAAAGCTGAGACTTGGTCTGGCCGAGAAGACGGTCCTTGTTTCGCTCGCCCAGGCCATTGTCTGCCACGAAGCAGATGCAAAGGACAAGGTTCCCAGCACCTCGGATATAGAGAAGGGCGAGTCTATCCTCAAGACGGTTTACAGGTAAGCATGCAAGAGCACCTCAACTAGTATGTCATACTAATAAGAAACAGTGAACTCCCAAGCTACGACGTCATTATTCCTGCTATCCTCGAGCACGGAATTATGAAGCTTCGCGAGAACTGCAATCTTCGACCTGGTGTTCCTCTGAAGCCCATGTTAGCCAAGCCCACCAAGGCTATCACTGAGGTGCTGGACCGATTTGAAGGACAGACGTTTACTTGTGAATACAAGTATGATGGCGAAAGAGCGCAGATTCACTATGTGGCCAAGGATGCACCCCAGCAGCTGAGCCAGGCAAGCCAGGGAGCAGCCAAGGAGGTCGGTGCTGGAGTTGCAAGCATCTTTTCGAGAAACTCTGAGGATCTCTCCAAGAAGTATCCCGATATTCTTGCTAAGCTTAGTACTTGGGTGAAGCCTGATACCAAGAGTTTCGTCTTGGATTGCGAAACTGTTGCCTGGGATGTGGACGAGAAGAAGGTGTTGCCCTTCCAGCAACTCATGACACGCAAGAAGAAGGACGTCAAGGTTGAGGATGTCAAGGTCAAGGTGTGTGTCTTTGCCTTTGACCTGCTTTATCTCAACGGAGAAGCTGTGGTTGAAAGGGCACTACGGGAACGACGTGAGCTACTCGAGGCTGCATTTATCCCTGTTGAAGGCGAATTCGCCTTCGCTACCCACATGAACGGCCAGGAGCTTGAAGAGATCCAGGTCTTCCTTGACGAAAGTGTCAAGGCTTCATGTGAAGGTCTCATGGTCAAGATGTTGGATGGTAGGGAGAGTGGATATGAGCCCAGCAAGCGAAGTCGCAACTGGCTCAAGGTAAGCATCATTCTCCTTATTCGTTTGTGAGAATTCCCAACTAACATTCTGTCTACAGATCAAGAAGGATTACCTCTCTGGTGTTGGCGACTCTCTCGACCTTGTCGTCCTGGGGGCATACTACGGCAAAGGCAAGCGTACTTCAGTGTACGGAGCATTCCTCCTGGCATGCTATAACCCGAACTCAGACACATACGAGACCGTATGTAATATTGGAACTGGTTTTTCGGAGCAAGTGCTTGAAGATCTACACAAGCAACTGTCCGAGATCACCATTGACCGACCCAAGCCCTTCTACTCGCACTCATCTGGTGGGCAACACCAGCCTGACGTCTGGTTTGAGCCCCGTTACGTCTGGGAGGTCAAGACTGCGGATCTGACGCTCAGCCCACGATACAAGGCCGGTGCCAAGGAGGGAGTAGACCCTTCAGGCACCAAGGGTATCAGTCTGCGATTCCCACGTTTCATTCGCATCCGTGATGACAAGAATGCCGATTCTGCCACGACGAGTCGTCAGGTTGCTGAGATGTACCGCAAGCAGGAGAGTGTGTCCAAGAGCAAGGGGCCTGCTGTGGATGACGACTTTGAATATTAGACGTTTTGGCCTGTTGCCGAATTATATGCATTCATAAGGAGAGGGGGATTCCGCTCTGGCGTTGGGGCATGTATGAATAGTCTTTTGACATGTCCTTGAAAATGACAGGGGCTATGAAAGGCTCTCATGTAAGATATAATGACATTATCAAACCAAGATCAACTCCTAAACATGGATGCACGGAGACGACCAGGAACGGTCAGAGAAATAAAATACAGTGCTTCAAGATTGATAAAAGCTTCTGTCTATATGGCCAAGGAAACTAGAATACTCGTAACATAGATCATACGTGTCCCAAACATTCCCGTTTATGTAACAAGTCCCTCTATAACATGGGCTCCTCGCCCTGGATACTGTCGCCGTCGTCAGCGCCGTCCGCACCCTGCAGCAGCCCGCTACTCTCGAGAGCACCATCATCCGCCGCTATACTCGTCACACCCGTCTCGTGGCCCCTTCCACTAGGTCCTAGACCCATGGTGCGCCTTGTCTCCTCGGCACCATTCAGGACGTACCAGACGTCCTTCTTTGTCAGCAATCCCTGAAGGACGCCGCGGTCACTGAACAGGAGGTAGCGTAGACCGAGCTTCTGGAAGTATGTTGAGACGAGGTGTAGGCTTGTGTGAGATGGTAGGGTCAGGGGGGTCTGGTCCATCCAGGGGCGGAGGTCGAGGGTGGTTCGCGGGTCGGCGAGAGGTTGGTGAGAAAAGAAGGCCTCGGTCTCCGGAGGAAGTGAGCGAGGCGGCTGAGTTGAGGCGGAGAGGTTATAAGCAAGCTCAGCGCGTGAGATATAGCCAAGGAGTATGGCTTCGCGGGGGTCTGATATGACAGGGAAGCCACGGTAGGGGTGCATCTCGAGGATAGTGGTGAGGGAGGCGATGGTATGGCCCGTAGCCGTAAGGACGACGAGGTCCTCGATACGGGTCATGACTTGAGCGGCAGGAATGTCAGGGATAACATCGCTGTTCTCGCTGTTGTCTAGGAAGGGATACTCGTTAAAGTGAATCCACGACTCGTAAATACCGCGGCGCGAGAAGGCGTCGCCAACCCACTTGGAGATCATGACAGCGATCATGATGGGGAGAACATATGTGAGAGCGCCAGTGAGCTCGAACATAATGACGACGATGGAGACGGTCATGCGAGTCACACCGGCGAGGGAGGCTGCGGCACCGACAATAGCATACGTGCCGGGAGTAACGCAGGGTATATCAGGCTCACAGGAGCCAAAGAGGAAGAAGGACGGGTAGTTGGTGACCCATATCTCCATGATGATGCCCACGGCACGACCTGTAAGAGCACCAATGGCCATGGATGGCAGAATAATGCCCGCAGGGATCTGCAGGCCAAAGGTGACGGCGGCGAGGAAGAATCCAAGCACTGAGGCGAAGACGAGGAGGACAATGGTTCTAGCAGACGCGGCACCCGTCCTACAGATGCCGATAGGGTCATCGAGAACCTTTGAGCACTCGGAGAAGAGGTTAGAGACGAGTTCAGTGGTTTGCGCCTTCATGTAAAAGTTGGGGTAGTTGATGAGAGCTGTGAAGAAGGCGACGATGAGAACCTGGGCGATAGGGCCAGGGATCCAAGTATTGGCCTTCTTCCAGCGAGCGATGGCCATGTTGAGTCTAATAAAGAGGCCACCATGGATGCCCTGAAGAGTCTTGTTAGCAAGTGAGACCCCTGAACGGCGACGTATACTCACTCCTAGGATGCCCAGGATGGCGTAGGGAAGCAACTCGAAACGATGCCACCCAATGCTATACTGGACTTGGTACAAGACGAGTTTACCTGACCTAAAGGGGTCAAAGGCTTGGAGGACGACTGCAGCAGTCATGGCACAGACGAAACTCTGCCACATGGTCTTGTCTGGGAAATAGTACGATAATGTCTAGTAGATATGTCAACGCCGAATAGCGTAAATGGGAAGGCCAAGCATACCTCGAGACTAAACAAGACACCGCCGATAGGGGAACCAAAGGCAACAGAGACGCCTGAGGCCGCAGCAGCGGATAGAACCTCTCGTTTTCGAGCTATGAGGGTTAGCAGAGGCATCGATCAGCTCGAGACTTGAGGAAATACCTTCATTGTCGTTGATATTGTGAAACAACTTTGTAAATACGTTGGCGCAACAGCAAGCAACGTGGATCAACGGGCCTTCTTTGCCCAGCCACATGCCCGAGGCCACAGCCAAGGCCTTTAATAGTGAGTAACTGATCAGAAAGGGCGAGTATTCTGGCTTACAAGGCCAAGTGACTTGGTCACAAGTGTCCAGCCACCCAGAAATCGTTGGATGACGAACCCTCCCAGGACAGTCTTGATCTCCGGGATACCACTATGCTTGGCGTAGATGGCATACTCTTGTACAAGAAGAGCAGCTACAAATGCAAACAGCATCTTGAGCAATCATTAGCACCAGAGAACGGAGGTGGGCAGGATGTAAACGTACCGCAAGACCGACAAAGAAGAAATACTCGAGGAACCACCTGCCGCCGGCCGAGCCCACTCCAAGGGCACCACCCCATGTCTTCCAGCCCTCACACTTGGAGCCCTGATCATATCCATAGCAGCAAAACGCCTTATTAAGGTAAAAGTGGCCGCCCTCAGGCCCGCTGGAGCAGTAGCCTTCCTTCAGGTCGCCAAGCCAGTCGGTGGTGACATTGATGCAGGCAGCGACTGCGCCGACAGCCATGCCCGTCAGCAACAGGACGATCCAGACCTGGCTGGCGTCGATGAGACGGCGGGCATAGCCTAGCACGCCGTTTGCGCTGGAGTATAGGACACGCAGACGCTGGCGCTCCTTGGTGTACTCGAAGATCCAGTCAATGGCCGTAAGATCCTCGTAGCCGACGCGGCGACCGGGTCCTTCAATGTACCAATCGAGCGGCGCACCATCTTTAGAGGCGGCATTGAGAGCAATGGGTTCGGCGCGCGGAGGGGTCTCGGAGCCTGAGAAGACGGCGGGCGACGGGCCTCTCGACGAAGAATGCGAAGCGTTGGATCGTGAGCCTAGGATGGCCGAGAAGAAGCGGGCCGGCGCAGAGAGGAACGAGGGTCCTTGACGTCGCTTGAAGGACATGGGTGCAGCTAGATTGCCCTGCAGCGGGTCATCTTCGAGAACGTCGTGACCGTCATCGCCGTGGCCATAGGCGCCTCGACGGGCGCTGACCTCGTCGCCATCCTGGCCGAGAAAGTCGAGCTCGTCGCGACGATCCGAGTCGGGGGTATGCGATGCGGACGAGGCTGAGGCTGAGGCGGAGGTGGATGCGAAGGCGTAGGGGTCTCCAGACATGATGCGGTTCATACCATTGTGCAGCGCAGCCGAGACGCTCGCAGCAGGAGTCTCGCGACGGTCGGGTATTGTTTCTTCTCTTGTTTATTTCGTTGGTGGTGTCTAGAAGATGAGGCTTCGAATCGTGTTCAAGTGTACAAGTGTTGGCCTATGATGGAAGTTGGGGGGCTGTAGGCGTAGGTGCAAGTGGTGGGCCTGGAGAGCTCGGGCCACGCTCAGTGTTCTTGCCTAAAGCGTCGAGTAAGAAGAGCCTCTAGATGAAACCGTCCTTTATGATGTTGCGATTTATATACATGAAGTATAGAAGAGTTTAGATACAGATGATACTGTTGTTGATTCTAGGTAGACATTTCTTGATGTTCTTTTAACTGTCCCTAAAAGACAAGCCTTACCCCGGGCCGCATAAAACATTGTCTTGGACAGCAGCAACAGCATGCCTGACAATCACACCAAATCATGCACAATGTGGCTGGTTGCATACAGTTGGTTACCAGGCCAATTAACAGACTTTTATGACACGCTAGCATCTGAATTTACCATTTCATTGGACTCTGGGCCATATCCCAGCATCTGTTGTCTCTGTCAAACAAGCTGAAGTTCAAGCTGAGGGTGAGACAGGGTAGTCACAGCAAGATGCCATTGACATAATCCAGAACAAGTGCATACAAATAACAGACATACAAGCACAAGAGATAAATAGAATGTCTTTACCTATCTCACATCCAATTATAAATCTTGACGTCTAGAGCAGCTTTCCTACCTAAACATCATCATTTCGCTACTGCTGAACATCAATGCACCTAACGGGGCAATTTGGTCCTGATCGAAATAGTGGGCCTGCCAAAGTCATGGTTGTGAGAGAAGATTAAACAAGCAACTTCAAGGTCGTTGGTCTCATACAGATCTATCAAGCTCTAGACTCTGTTCAATTCCTTTTGACGACACCGAGATTCTCATTACAACTTCCCAAGTCAAACAGCCTCACGCCGTCCTGGTGTCATCCACACCAACATGGACATCACCACTGACGAGGCGCAACCCTCTACCTCACAAGCGACAGACATCGCCAAGATAAAGACGCTCCTCAAAGCAAAAGACGATACACAAAGATTCGTGGGTCTTGCGCTCCTCAAATCTGTTCTCGACGGCTCAGAAGAACTCCGACAAGATGAAAAGACTGTCCACAGTCTCTGGTCTAGCCTCTCACCCAAGTTTCTAGACCGGTTGTTACGCACCGGGTCGAAGCCTTCCAACAAGAATGCAAAGGAGATGCTTGATCTTGTTGTTTCTGTTTTGCACATTTTTTCTATATTGCTTCCTGACCAGGCAAAAAGTGACCCAAGGTTCATTGACAGAACTCCTTTGCTTGTCGCTGCTATTCTCCACAGGTATTGTTTTATAAACAACTTTAGGAAGATAAGACATACTAACTGATATAGCACCGAGGAAACCACTGCTCTGGTCCTTCAACTTCTGCATACTTTGGTCAGCTCACAAGCTGGAGCTCAAGCTTTTATCAAGATTGCCGACGTTAGCTCACTCACCGAGATCGCTCCCACTCATGCGGCAGTCCTGGACATTCTGAGTTTTGCATGGCTCAACTCCATGACTGTGGTTGAAGATACAAGCACGTTTTCTACGAAGATTGATACCACCATTCAGAGCCTGGTCTCGTCGTTTACCGGAACTGATGCCGTGACACTTCTTGAGTTTCTCGGCTACTTTCTACGAAACGCCAACCCTACCGTAAGTCATCTCAAGAACCAACAAACATGGTTAACTAATATGTCCTACAGATCCTGCCTCGCCAGCCCAAGTGGCTGAAGAGCGTTGTCAACTATATCCAAAACCTCGTCACCAGCCGACCAACCCCCGAGGCCCGCTCAGCCTATACAAACGCTGCGGCGTCCATACTCCAGACCTACCCCATCCAAGGTCCAAAGATCCTCTTCACAGACGCAAAGAAGGATGACAAGGCCTTTTCATACCTCCTCATCAACCTCCTGCTCATAGACATTCGCTCTTCTGCCCCAACCCTCCTGGAGCAACTCAACACACCAGAGTATCCGAAAGTGTCGAGAAGACTTACATCTGCATTCGATGTCATCTCCATATTTGTGGGATACCTCGTGCAATGCCTCGAGGACGACTCTTTGGAGACTTTCATCATGACTCCAGAAAACCTCCTCAAGCTCCGCAAGGGTATCTCCGAGACCATGTCCGTGACGGCCGAATATCTGCGTGATCGATGGGATGCTTCTGTTGCTGGAGCCATGGGCCTACACCCAGATGCCCGTGCAGGCACAACGGAAACGGCAACGGGCACTCACCATACCCTCGCCTGGGACTCTATCAAGGACAACGCCGACGAGGATATGTTTATCCTCTCTGCCGTTCGAGCGCTGGCGCTCTGGCTGCGGGAAGACGACAATGACAGCCTGCGCAAGGAGACAACGGGTTTAATGGACATGTTCATGGACCTATACCAGTCCAGCTCCCAGGAGAAACTCGACTTTCGCTCCCCTATTCTTGTCGCCCTCGAAGGCGTGACTACCATGGTAAAGGGTCGAGACTCGCTGCTTGCTAATGATGGATGGCGGATACTCACCATTGATCTCAACTCGATCCTTCAGCATGGTTCACGCACTTGTACCGATGAAGATGCCTCCCGAGCCACTGATATCGTCCGCATACTCTTGCCCATTGCCGAGCAGGAGACGAGGGGTATCCCTGAGGCGTGGATGGACCTCATCACCGCAGTGGCTGCGTGGGACGTGTCTGATGCTGAGCAGCCACCTACACATATGGTGCAGGAAGCACAGGTTGCCGCCTTGCAACTTTGCTGTGCGGTTCTTGTGGCTGCAAACAGTGGTATGAGGAAGAGATATCAGTATTCTATTGCTGCCATCAACGGTATTGCAGCTCAGCTTGGTGGTTATGTTGGGCCGGATAGTCCTGTGAGGGAGATGCTTGACGATGTTCTTGCTACACTAGGAGGATTGGCTCACGAGGGATGAGAAAAGCTGCTTGTGAAAAGCACGATGATCTTGCTTAGACGTGGTATCTATGATTAGAGAGGATAGCTCGTTAAGACGTCCGATATGATAAGATACAGGACAGACAACGTGTCATTCAACAGGCTCTCCCTTCAGTGTCTTCTTACTGCGGCTGAACACACCCAAGCGAGTCCTCTTCATGCAAGGCCATGTCAGCGGCTTAACCGTCCCTCACCAGCCAGCGCCCGCATTTCGTCAGTCTGATTGAAGCTGCCACTCACTCTCCAATGCTGACCGAATGGGACATGCCGGTGAGGGGTAGATACGGCAAGCCCGGCATCAAAAGTGTATTTAACCAGCCGTCCGTTCTCGTGGTGTTTGAGAGTATGTCGAGAATTAAAAGAAGAATGAGAATCTCGTGTTGTTTATGCTCTGTTCAGCTACTCTGCAAGAGTTGAACCACTCACCACAAGAAGTAAATATATGAATCGCCTCAACCATTGCATCAGTCTACCTCTTCGTTTCACCCGTATTAACCACTTCACCATCCCTCGGGCTCTCAGCACAATGTCAGCCACTCACTACGACGTCCTCGTCCTCGGCTCTGGCCAGGCAGGCAACCCCGTCGCCAAAGCCTTTGCCAAAGCCGGTCACAAGACAGCCGTCATCGAGCGCGCCGCCTTGGGAGGCACCTGTGTCAACGTCGGCTGTACACCGACAAAGACCATGATCGCATCTGGCCGCGCCGCGTATATGGCGCGACGGGACAGCGACTACGGCGTGCGAGCTGGAAACGGCCACGTCGAGATCGACATGGCTCGCGTGAGACAGCGCAAGCGCGCCATCGTGGAGCAGTGGAACAGCGGTAGTGTCAAGGGGCTGGCCGCCGCGGGCGTCGAGGTTATCATGGGCGATGCTAGCTTCGTCGGTGATCGGAAGCTCAAGGTTGCGCTGCAGGACGGAGGCAACAAGGAGGTCAGCGCCAGTACTGTGTTCCTCAATGTTGGAGAGAGGTCGGCGCGGCCCGAGATCCCAGGGCTGGATGACCTGGAGCCGGCACGTGTGCTGAACTCGACGTCCATCATGGAACTTGCTGAGGTTCCACGGCATCTCGTCGTGCTTGGTGGTGGATACATCGGCCTCGAGTTTGGACAGCTCTTTCGCCGGCTGGGAGCTGATGTCACTATCGTTCAGAGAGCGAGGCAACTCGTACCGCGAGAGGACCCTGACGTGGCAGAGTGTCTCCTCGATATCCTTCGGCAAGATGGCATCACAATACACTTGTCGAGTACGATCGACTCCATCTCGGCCACAAAGAACACGGAAACTCCATTCTCGGTGAGCATCAAGACTCCGACAGGTCAGACAGAAGTGTCAGGATCACATATTCTCTTGGCGGCGGGCCGAGTGCCCAATACAGATGGGTTGAATCTCTCTGAGGTCGGCATCAAGACAACTGCCAAGGGGCACATTGTTGTGGATGACAGGCTCGGAACCACAGCTCCAGGGGTTTATGCCCTGGGGGATTGCCATGGTGGCCCTGCCTTTACACACATGTCCTATGATGATTTCCGTATCATCCGCACCAACCTCCTTTCGGAGACCATGTCATCCACGACTCCAACCATGGCTACAACGCAGGCCTCTATCTCCAGAGTCCTGACCCCTTACTGCATGTACACTGATCCGCAGCTGGGTCATGTCGGCCTTCACGCTAGAGACCTCGCCAACAGTACCAGAGAGATCAAAATGGCCAAGATGCCCATGAGTTATGTCGCAAGGGCACTAGAAACGGCGGAGCCACGAGGCATGATGAAGGCGGCTGTGGACGCAAAGACGGGTGAGATCTTGGGATTCACGTGTTTGGGTATTGAAGGAGGTGAGGTCATGTCGATTGTCCAGACTGCTATGATGGGTGGCTTGAAGTGGTGGGACCTGGAGGCGGCAGTCTATGCCCATCCAACTTTGGCTGAGAGCTTGAACAACCTCTGGGGACACCTGGAATAAGCCGGCATGAGCGTATCTTGTGCCACGAGGCCTAGTCTGATAATCAAATCAAGATGCCTCAAGCGGTGCCGTCTGAGGCTGAGTGTTGGCTGTAGTTTCACCCTCATTTTTTGCTGCCGCTTCTGCCTTGGCTCGTCTCTTCCGAGCTCGTCGCACCTCAATCTCGACGTTGAGCATTTCGGCATTGACTGAGACAAGCCTAGGGATGATCTTCTTTACTGCCTGAACAGATTGCGCCTGGGCTGTGCGGAGTGGCATAGGTGCGAATATGCCGTACCAGTGCAATGGATTCCTGTTCTTCTTGGGCTTCTTCGGGGTGGACTCCTTCGTGGTGTCCTTTTCGGTCTTCTCCTCCGATTCTCCGTCGTTTCCTTCGGAAGTAGCACCCTCTTCCTTCTCTGGCTCTTCGATAGGAGCATCGATGATTGAAAATGACGGAATCTCTTTCTCGTCGACCTCGATATCAAGAAGGCGGATTGCCTGCATCCTCTCATCGTAATGATCCTGGCCATACCTCATGCCTCGCTCGCCAGCAAAGTTTGCTCGTGCAATATTCTGATAGACATTGGACTGAAGCTGCGATAGGCTCTTGCGTAGCTGGGTGTATTCATCCAACAGGCCTAGGTAGCGCTCGAGGAGCGCGTCAATGTGTTGCTGCTGGTCCATGGTTGTGCTTGAAGCAGGTCGAATTGTGAACGCTTCTGTGTTCTGGTGTGATAGAAAGCTCACATAGGACTCCTTCGGGCATTAATAAGTCGGCTGTAACCAAGAAGTGCAGGTCGCTGAGTGTTGACCAGATGTTGATAGAAAAGAGTTACCTCGACAGCTGTGAGTCCATCTTGTGCAGGTGAAAGCTGCCTACGTAGCTATACTCTTATGGCTTAGCGCCGGTGTTAATTCACCCCCATGTCAGAACTCACAAGCATTTCGCACCATGCATTCTCTGAGACACCAAACTCTTGGGGAGCGATTCATTCACCCATAGTTAATTTATGTCCCTAATTATGCCTCAGATGAATCTCTCCTCCGACCTCGAAACTTGACATTCAGAGGCCCGCCCGTGTACAGCATCGTTGGGATCGCAGACACAAACACAATGACACCCAGCGACCACCCTACAGTCCCCCATCCAGCACTATCTCTGATCATTCCGCCCAAGATGGGCCCTACCAATGATCCTCCAGAGTAGGCCATGTTGTACAGGCCATACGCCTGGGCAATCTGTCCCACGCCCTCCTTCCCATCCTCGCCCTGAACAGACCAAGTGATCTCTGCCATGAGAGGGCCGAAAATGCACGACATGGTGATGCCAATGCCGACAAGGAGCCCACACAGCAGTATCTTGTCTTCGATCTTGTTCTCCGAGACGAACCGCAGACATATGGTAAAGGGTGTTGCGAAAAAGAGGCCAAACGTGGCGAGCCACTTGGGTCCGTAACGATCGCTTATCATTCCAATGACGGGGCCGAGGAACGAGGGTAGAATGATGGGGAGGAAGATGAGCCCTGCGCCAATCGAGTCCCAACCGAATATCTCCTTGGTGAGAAGAGGAAGTGTGCTTTCTAGGGCGGTCTGGATAATTGCCTGAACGAGTGTTCCCCAGAGAGCAGCTAAGAAGCGAGGCCGTCGCAGCAGTCTGACAAGTGTCTTGATGGGCGTCCTCGATGGGTCCAGTTCGTCCTTCGTCGATTCATCTGTTGTTTGCGCTGGGGTTTTCGAATTTCCTTCTCCCTCTCCCTTAGATTCTTCAGCACGAACGCCCTCCAAGTCGGTGGACGTTGCAGTCTCTGCATTTTCAAGCCACACCTTGGCCTCCTTGACCTCGATGATGACGAGACGCAGAACAATATCTACTGCAAGCAGACCAAAGCACATGGCAAACACAGAGTAGTAACCTCCCTTGCCATACACAACTCCTCCAAGTAGAGGTGCCGTCAGGATGCCAAGACTGCAGGCCATGCTGATCCAGCCCATTGCCTTGCCGACGTGGTCCTTATCCACAGTGTCGACAACCAAGGCCAGACCAACAGTCCAGGTCAGAGCCGCTGATATACCCTGGAGGACACGGCCGACGAGGAAGAGCGGGAGATTTCGTCCTACGCAGAGGAAGACGGTAGCTCCAGCCAACAAGAAAAGACCAATAAGCATTGGGAATCGGCGGTTCTGGATTCTATCTGCCAGATATCCCCAAACAGCTGTGTTTCAAACTACATGTTAACATCCGTCTCACCAAGGGGAGGAGTTACATACGAGACCCGCCTAGGAGAGCGGCACCATAGACGGCCAGTGCTATCGAAACCCAATACTGGACTCTGTCTGTGCTGATGCCAACCCGATTCTCGAGGGAGAATGGCAGCACTGGGACGATGACTCCATACAAGAAGATGTCCTATCGAATAGGTCAGCTCAGTTTGTAACAGAACGGTGCAAAGTATTACAGTAAAGATGGCAAAGGAACAGGTGGTGACGATTAGACCAGCTGATGATCGCAACTTGAGAAGCTTCGGCGGCTTGTCTTGCCGCGTCCACTCGAGAATCGCCATTATGTCCAGCTGAGAGACTCTATGGGCAAGGCCTTGTAAACGACAACCTCTTTGGCAGCAAAACTCCGAGTTCGTCGAGCTTTCACGGGCTGACAAGGCCTTGGGCTGTCGGTTTTTTTTATCCGCCCGAGTTTCCTGTCGCTTCGCCGTACCCACACCAACTTTCCGGACTCGGGCATCTCGCGCCCCGACGACCGGGAGCTCGAATGGATGGGTTGCAGGTCCCGGATCGCCACATGGGGTTAGCGCACCAGCTCGAATCTGTTCATGACCCCAGATGTTCGCCGAAAGATGCGGAGTGAGTTGAGGCTAGTTACGGCAAGAATCAACGTCTATCTGGAGCTTGACGTCGCTGCTTCAAGGTTGACCGATGGATGAAGGGTTCTAACATGAGGGCAGGCACTTTGGTTTAGCTCTGGGCCAGGTTTGGTAGGTCAGAGATTTGCCACGATGAGTACCGAGTACGAGTCTGAATCGAGTATATTGAAGACTATATTGAGGTAGTTCCCGCCTAAAAATACACATCAGATTGGCTCTACGTCGGTAGTTGAACTTGACTAGGACTTCCTAGTTAATAGTACCTGGATACTACGTAGGTATTTGCAATATGGCATCTTGCGTCGCATGTAAAGCTGCCCCCTGAACTGAGCATTGCCAGTTGTAGACAGCACACTTGGCATTGTTACCCACCAGCTCGGCAACAATTTCCAGTTCTATTGTTGATTATACCCGACGTTGTGTTGCAGGAAACAAACATGATCTATCCGCAACTAGCTCCAGTTGTTCGCCGACAAGTTCGCCGACGCCTACGCCGAAGATGGCGCGGCTGACCGCTCACTCTGTATCAACAACACTAACGAGAGCCAGTCCATTTTAGCCAGTAAGATCTCTTCGTTCTGCCTGCACACTTGGAGGGCTTGCAGAGCAAAAGACGAGGAGGCTGATTGACAACAAATCGAAGGCTGAGGGTGCAGATTTGCACTAGGCCCGGCCTGGGCCGTGATGGAGCAACGTGCAGACCGTTAACGACTGGAGCTGGATGTGCCATGTCTCAGGTTACCCACGAACGAACGCTCTATTCAGTGCAGTGCAGTGCTGCAGAGTCTGAGCGTTAAGAGAACCTGGGCTGACCCAATGTGAGACAGGCAGCTGGGCCGCATGATTCCATTTCGTCCCATGTTGATGAGGACTCTTGTCAGTCTGATAGGAAAACTGAAATCTGACAGGTCTAGCTCACAAGGGAAAAAAAGAGAAACAGGATGCCGACGAGTGATCCCCGATGCATAAAGTCGTGCAAGGAGCCCTTGATAGATGTAATATCCCTGGGCTGAAGCTTGAGTGTGGGCTTGGAAACAAGGACCCTTGAACGTGTGTGTGTGTTTTGATGGGATGGGCAACGTGAATGAGGCGGGAGCTGGGGTCTTGGATCCCGAGATTTGGGTCCGGTTAGCTCCTGTGATATTCCCCGGTATGGATGAGACTAAGGCGGGATCCCTTTCTGCAAGGCTGTCTTGTCTGTGTCTGTGTGTTTGTTTGTCTGATGGGAATATGCGGTGGTGGTAATGCTATGCTGACTGTCGGCATGTTCAAGTGCCGACATGCTATTGCATATCTTGCCATGGATGGTGGTAACCCAGAAGCCTCTAAGGACACAGGCAGAGTCTTATTACTGGTGCAAGGAGATGGTATCATGACATGGATAAGGACCCTTTTTCTTTGACCACGAGTTATACCTTCCCAGGCGAGTTTGTCCCAAGGCTCACCGGAAGCACAGAGCGCAAGGTGACCCATCGAGAGTCGTGTTTCTCGGTCACGCGTGGTTCGCAATTTGCTTTTTCAAAGCGGGACGCGGTTTTGCATCCTCCCCCCAATCTCACACAATCTGATGAGCCAGGTCTCGTCTACAGGAGCAAGGACCATCTCGCAGTGTTCCCCTTGCTGGTTTGGTTTGGTTCAGTCAGGATATAGGGGATTTGCCCAGGGCATGGGCCAGAGGGAGCTCCCTGCAAAGGCTGAACAACCCCCGGTCTCTCATCATCAGATGGAATTCATCTCGAAGGTCGACTTGACCTCGGACAATCAAGGTCAGATCGGCAGAGCAGGTGAGCTCTCGAACTGGAGATAACGGTGTGAGTCTCTGTGTGGCAATATGGCATCACCACCAGGACGAGATGAAGTTGGCAAGTCATCAAGGACCAGACAAGCATGTTTCCCCAACAAAGAAAAGAGAGGCACAAAGAGCAAAAGCCCATCCCCATCCCATCCCATTATGACGAACCCGCCCACCCCCCGGGGAAAACTGACCATCATTTGTCCACTCTTTGGCCCCTATTCAGACTGCCCATGCCCCCAAGTACTGTACTGTCCTTTGTTGCTTGCTTGGTCGCTCGTGCAAGCATCTCGTAGGTGGCATCTCTGGTCGAGGGTGGCTCAAACGTCGCTCAACCCTGATGTCGTCATCAAACGTCGACGAGCCTTGTTGCAGCATTCCTCACTCTGCCTTAGCTGTCTGCTAGAAGGGTCCTTTTCCAATGGCACGGTTCTCCCGCACGACACGACGTAATACCGCCGAATGGGGCTTTTTCATTGTCAATCAAGCCAAAGCTCGCCGGTGTTTCTTTTTCTCTGTCCCTCTGCCTCCTGCCCCTGACTTTGCGGTTTCACGTTTGTTTCCCGTAGCGGCTCTGGTTGGTTGTTGCAAGGGGCCCAAAGAGCCCCAAGTTCACGCTCGGTTTCTTTTTTTTTTGTTCTTTACCATCCATCGTCTGGGGTGTCGTCACGGACGCGATCCGGTTGAGAGGATTTCTCCGATGGAGGTAGGTATCCGCAGCTAGGAGGATACCTGGGTGTCCTGCTGATAGCTTAAGCGACTAGTGGTATCTGGACGTGAACAACTAACAGAGGAGAAAGATGCCATGCTTAGCTGCTTCTTAGAATTGCACCATCACGGACTGCTATTAGAGGCCATGAGCATAAGTGATGATGATTATAAAACATGTTGAACTGTGAAACATCTACGGATACCTCAAATGCCTTATCAGCTCCCTCCATCTCGCATGGCTCCTTGATGGGATGGAACGGTCCCGTTCTCATGGATAAGTTATTTGACGGACTAGTCCAGTACCTACCAGGTTCACTAGTAAGTACCAGCCTTGGTGGGGACGGGCCTCTGATCACTTGGGGCTCGGGGCTCTTCATCCACTAGAATGGCCGCCCTGGAGATGTCCTTCAGAGGCGCCCAGGCCAGGCGCGTCCGCCCACCCGTGCCTGGGCCCGTTTTCCATGGCATGGATGGATGCATCGCTCATCAACTTGAACGCCCCCTTCTCTGTTTCTGCTTCACGGGGTTCATCAATTCCTTTGACTGTCCTGCTTTGTCTTGCCTCTGCGATTTCTTACATATCTCTTTGGCCTTGTCAGGTTATCGACGGCCTCGAGGGCAAGCTCCTTTTCTCCTCGGAGCACGACATCCATCTCACTCATTACAAAGGTCCTCGTGCCTCACTCGACGATCAGTCCTACAAGGAGGAGGAGATACGGATAGACGTACAGCAATCAAGAGAAAGAGGTTGGTGGGTTCCATTTTCTTGATCCTCCTGCTGCCTGTTGGGGAAACTCATTTGACTGTGCTGCTGCATCACCATCCATCATCATCACATCCACCATCCCAGCGTGCTACGCCGTCTGGTTCAATCTTGTCCATCATCCTTCCATCTCTCATCTCATCTCATTCACTCGCTCGTCCACTCCCGGACGGACGCACGCGCGCCGTTGTCTTTCCTCCACTTGGTTATCCACTCTTGCCCACGTCGCAAATCAGCCTTGGCCGACTCTTCTGGAGCTTTGCTTGGTTGGTGGTAGTCTACCTGAACAAGCAACAGAGGACGACAACGACGGTACGATACCACCCTGTTACTCTCAAGTTCACGCTCATCACCACCATTCACAGCCTTGGCTGGCTACCTACTTCTGTCTTTCCATCACCAAGTTATTATTACCAGGCTTGCTTGATTGCCTGCCTCCTCATCTTTGGTCCTAGGTACTTACCCACCTAGGCTAAACCTGGGAATCGTGCTGCTCCAACCCCCTCCCTCATCCATCCTATCCCATCCCCTGCTTGCTTGCTTGGTCTGGCTGGCTTTGGTCTGGTCTGGCCTGGTCTGTTCTGGCTGGTCGGGTCCTTCTGCCTGCTGGCCTTGCACTTCCATTTCCTGCCTGGCTTGCTTTTGGTTTCTGGTGCTGTCCACTCCCCCCAAGGCAAGGCCCCAAGGCCCACTATTACCTACCGACCTACCGCTGCCCGCCAACTCTGCCTCTGCCTCTGCTTCTGCTTCTGCCACTGCCACTGCCACTCTCGTCCAATCTCACTTCCACCACTGGCCGGCCACCTGCCCGCCTGCCTACCTCTACCGCCTCCAGTGCCAGTGCCTCCCGTCACCACTTAACTTGACATTACCCACTGTCAGCGAGTCGAGTCGCTCATCAACCAAGCTAACCGTGCCTCCCACCTCTTTGCGCAGGTCCGGTTCTGAGGTCCCCGTCCCGTCTCCATTCATCGCTCGCTCGAGTCGACCACAGCCTCCTTCTCTCCATCTCCACCCGCTGCTGCAACAGCGCCCAAAACGCAAGGAAGCAACCTCGATACTGTACCAACCTGCTACTTGCTACTGCAAACCGCATCCACCGCATCCTCACCTCCACCATTTCCATCCGCCATCCATCTCCAACCAACTCGTCCCTCGTTGCCTTGCCTACCTACCTCTCTCTCTCTCATCTTCCGATATATCCTCTCCGATTCCGACTTCGACCTCGTCTTCTCCGCTCCTGCTTCCTCCCCGCTCTTTCACTTCTCACCGTTCGCGCGCGCACCCGCCCGCCAATAGAAGCTTCATCACTCGAGAGCCTCTGCATACCACCTTAGCGTAGTCGAGCTCCTGCCGAGGAGCTGTCGAGAGGAATCATGACGGTTGTCGCAACGATCAAGTAAGTTCTGTCGCTTTTTGCCTGCCGCCCTTTGCTGGGATTTTTTTCTGCCTGTGCCTGCTCCAGGCTGCCTTTCTCTGGACAGCATCACACGGAGCATGCCTGCGCATCGCCTCTGCATGCCATCTCCTTTCCCTCCTGCCACTTCTTCAGCTGCTTGCAGAAGCTAACCAGTCTTCTCTTTTGATAGGTGCGTCGTCGTCGGCGATGGTGCTGTTGGAAAGACTTGCCTTCTCATCAGCTACACAACAAACAAGTTCCCCTCCGAATATGTTCCGACCGTCTTTGACAACTACGCCGTCACGGTAATGTGAGTCCTACTTGCACGCCCATCAGATCTACGCCAGCCCCCACGCCATGCTGCGCCCCCACATACAATGGTTGTTCTTCGCTGTCAAGATTGCGGTGATGGACCCTTGGTACATGTCGAATTCCAGATATGCGCAATCGACTTGGGGATATTGTCACTTGACGCCATGGCGCACGGTCATCTAGGACGGGCTAACCGGTGGTAGGATTGGTGATGAGCCATACACTCTGGGTCTGTTCGATACCGCCGGTCAAGAAGATTACGACCGACTCCGACCTCTTTCATATCCCCAGACCGATGTTTTCCTTGTCTGCTTCAGCGTCACCTCGCCTGCCTCGTTCGAAAACGTCCGCGAGAAGTGGTTCCCCGAGGTCCGCCACCACTGCCCTGGCGTCCCTTGCCTGATTGTCGGTACCCAGGTGGATTTGAGAGATGACCCCAGCGTCCGGGACAAGCTGTCGAAGCAGAAGATGGCCCCGGTGCGACGGGAGGACGGCGAGCGAATGGCCAAGGATCTGGGTGCGGTCAAGTACGTCGAATGCAGCGCTCTGACTCAGTACAAGCTTAAGGACGTCTTTGATGAGGTATGTTTGAGGAAACTGAGTAGTCTATGCCTATATAGAGAGGCGACTCTGAGTATCTGCTAACTATCCATGCAGGCCATTGTGGCGGCCCTTGAACCCCCCGTCCCCAAGAAGGCTGGCTCCAGGGGGCACAAGTGCCTTGTCCTATAAACGGATAGGCACGAGCCGCAGCCGCGCCACGACCAAAAACCATTCCTCACCCTCCCCTGAAAATGGTTGATCAGCCAAGAAGGCCTCATCAGGCAGTAGCGGGCAAAGAGTCCTCTGGCGTGGGTGCGGCAAGACTAGATTGGGATGACCCGAGCGAATGGAACGGAATGCAATGGGATCTCATAAGAAATGGTCATCCTGTGTTTGATATGGATCGGATAACGGAACGAAGCTTGGGGAGCAGGCGTCTTGTTCCGTGACGAAGAGACGATGGTTTTCGAGGGCGACGTATGCGATGGACTCTCCTAGGCCGCTGAGCGTGGCCATAGTCTGCCGGAGACTCTATGATGAGCCAGCCCAGCCCCGTCAGCCTCTCTGAAGTTTCCTTGGACCGGGATCTACAACGCTGTTTCTTCCTTGATCCTCGCCCGAGGGTTTCTGAAGTAGGAGGATGGACCAAAGGACGGAAACGAAACAGGGAGAGCGGACGGGAGACGATTCATACATCCAGGTGGGAATGCTTTGATAGGACAGTTTGGCGATTGGGGTGCAATTTACATCGATGTCTTGTCTTGTTCGTCTTGCTTGACTTTATAGAAAGTTTGTGTATTTTTCTACTTACTCGGAGTCTGCTATTAATGTTGAGTGTGTATGATTAAGAACTTGACATGACGTAGATCAACACAAGCCGAGAGACGGCTCGGATGCTGCATCCGACGTGAGGCATGTCTCGGTGAAGGAGCTTCGGATTTCTCATGACCGCATTCCGGGCCGGTCTCGTGCTGTAGTTGGAAACTTGAGGATTTTCATGATGCCAGTGGGGATGGGAGGGAGAATGGCACGGTCATGGCATGAGGCGGTGGACGGACGGTAGATGTTGTATTGGTGACATTACCATGTAAGACATGGATGCAGAGCTTCCGCATTTGCTCATGAATCATGTCAAGGGAACCTTGAAGATGGACAAGTCACCTTGCCTTCCTAACCCCAAGGCTATGGATGGTCAACCTCGGATGGAGGTTTCGTTTGTCATTGGAGATAAGACGGGATGTTCGGGTTCGGAGTCTCCTGCCCCGTCGCGTCAACTTTCCCTTCTCAACCTAGCCCCGACGCAAGCCCGCCAACCTCCGGGCCCGTTCCCGGGACCGCCCCTCCTCTGCTCTGGCCGACTCGGAGTCAAAATGGAAACAAACTGCCTCATTCGGCTTCGGACGACGGCCATCTTCTCCAACTTTTTTTTTCCTTTGCAGAGAGGCGGGGAGATAGAGGGACGCGGGGATGCTTTGTCGCTGGGCGATTGGCCAATCGGGCGTCTGGCTGCATAAGTTACTGTATCTCATCGCGTGGCCTGTCGGCATCAGGCCTCTTTGTCAAACTTTAGCCCATTGGCCCGCGGGGACCGTAGACATGGAGAGTTTCGCTCTTGTATGACCAAATGACAAGCCTTGCGAGTCGAGTCGAGTCGAGTAGATCCCCATCCCGACTCGTGGGGCCGGCCGCCGGCGCCGGTGGGGGAGGGCATGCCACCTTGGACGATGCAGACAACTATAATAGACCTCGTTGCCTCCCTCTTCTTTCTCCCCTCCTCCTCCTCTTCTTCCCCAGGACTATAGGTTTGGACTGCAACGAGAATGAAGTCTTCAGCTCTCTTGAACCTGTTGGCCCTGACAGGGCTGGCCTCAGCCTGCGCTCATGATCATGACGACAAGGAGTGGACCAAGGAGGAACTGGATGAGCTCGAGGCGAAATGGGGCTATGAGGTATGTCTTGCTCGTCGAGTTCATGAAGATTGCTCGACTTACACTCAACCAAATAGTGGCCCTTTGCTGGCATCAACACCTTTGCCCACCTGAACCACGTCAAGTGCCTCACAGAGCCCACCGAGCCCTTCGATATCGCCATCGTCGGTGCTCCCTTTGACACAGCTGTCAGCTACAGACCGGGCGCACGCTTCGGTCCCCGTGCCATCCGCTCCGCCTCGGCACGTCAGACGTCGTTCCGCGGCTTCAACCCTCGCGCTGGCATCAACCCCTACCAGAATTGGGCCAAGATCGTCGACTGTGGCGATATCAGCATCACTCCCCTCGACAACAACATCGCACAGGAGCAGATGACCCAGGCCTTCAAGCAGCTCGGCAAGCGAAAGACCGTATCTTCCCTGGCACCCAAACCCAAGTTGATGACTCTGGGCGGTGATCACAGTCTGGCGCTGCCTGCTTTGAGAGCCCTGAATCACATTTATGGCAAGCCTATCCAGGTCTTGCACTTTGATGGTGAGTCTTGACTGCTTGGTCTAGTTCAGGGAGACAGACTCCTCCGTTTGCGATACCGTTCTGATATGTATTCTCAGCTCACCTCGACACCTGGAATCCGGCTGCCTACCCATCTTGGTGGGGAGCCTCTCAATTCACCCATGGTTCCATGTTCTGGATGGCCAACCAGGAAGGTCTTCTCTCCAACTCGTCCTCCGAGGCCTCTGTTCACGCCGGCCTGCGCACTCGCCTCTCAGGCGACGATTTTGCTGACAACGAGGATGACACCTCGCAGAACTGGGTCCGCTTCACTGCTGATGACATTGACGAGATCGGCACCAAGGGTATCATCGACGGTATCCTCAAGGTCCTCGGCACCGAGAACCCCGTCTACCTGTCTGTCGACATCGACGTCCTCGACCCAGCCTTTGCCCCTGGTACCGGTACTCCTGAGCCTGGTGGCTGGTCAACCCGCGAGTTTATCCGCATTCTGCGCGGTCTCGAAGGTCTCAACCTTGTTGGTGCTGACGTCGTCGAGGTGTCGCCTGCGTACCAAAACGGCGGAGAGGAGACCGCCCTGGCTGCAGCTCAGGTTGTGTACGAGATCATCTCGTCCATGGTGAAGCGAGGACTCGCCGATGGTGGAAAGGAGGCCAAGACCGCTGGCTCTGCCGGAAAGGATGAGCTGTAAAGCTCAGATGTACATTTTATCCGACATTGATCAACATGGCTACCGGATATTGCCATGAAGGGTTGATGTGTCTACGAGTTATGACAGGTGCGAGGGGGTAGCCGCAACGACGGTGCCTGTGTTAGAAAGGCGTATGGTTGGGGTTATGAATCGATGTAGAAAGCGAAACCAAAATGACAAAATTCATAGTACTTCAAGTTCGCTGAAGTGATGTCAGTAGTCCTCTGTTCCCTCCTCCACGACTAGCACCAATGATGAACTTAGAGAGTCTCTAGGGAGATAGCGAGACACTGCCTCGAAGGCAACTTGGAATGGTATCAGTTGCCGAAGGGCGGTTTGTCCTTCCGCCGCACGGTATGTACAGCATGTGGTGGATGGAAGTTCATTGAGGCTGCCTTCCCTGGCCTGATCTAGACTGGGACCTTACAAGGTGCCACTTTGCCTCGGTAGCATAATGAGAATGCCTATCTGGCCCAGACTTCTGAGCTATGACAGTTCTGGACTTGACGAGTTGCTCGCTTAGACATCCACCAACAGATTGCTCCCCCGCCGATGGGCCATTGAACGCTGCGATAGGGGTGAAAGGATGTATCGAGGCCAAGACATAACTTAATGAAAGCAAGGAGAGGCTGCCAAGAGCCAGATATGACGGTTGTCCGATGATTGAAATAGCCTAAAAAAGGCTTCTAAAAACAAAACGCATTGCTTGACCCATACGGAATATTCCAGTCCAGGTCTAGACTTGAAGGTCGTTTCAGGTGACGAAGCGAACTTGAGCTTTTTTTTTTTTTGGTCTTAGTATTTGACAGAGAGAGGCCATGGGCCACAGAGGTCAAAGACGATCAGCTTCAGGGATATCCGCACCCTATTTCCGACATAGCCAAGAGTCTCGAGTGCATGTTTGTCAGATCGTGCTGCACTAGATCAACTGGGTCTGTCGTCAAACAAAGGCCTGGAAGTGGAGGAGGCCTGGTTCGTATGCTACTTAGCTACGGGCTGCAACATCTGATTGAAGGGATATATGTGTTTTAGCGAGTGTAAGGGAACTGGCCCGTGGTTGGAGGATGAAGCGGTTTGAGATGAACAATCGGGAGGAATCAAGTCATTGGCAGTTCCTGGACCAGAAAGTGGCCTGTGGGCTGTCTTGAAAAGGTGTCATGGGGAAGACTGTGCTCTGGTGTGAGTGCGATATGAGGGCATCATGAGACGACGGCATCCGTAGACAACTTTTGTGAGCTGCTGTGTGATCTTCTCCTATACTCGGTTGCTAGACCGAGTAGTAAGTCGGAGAAACTGATAGGCCCTCGAGACGCACTCGCGCTACAGAAAGCAGCTCTCCTTGGTGATTGGACAATGGACAAGGACAGAAAGGGACTGCTCCGTCTGTGACAGGGATTAATAGCCGACGGTCTTGGTGCAATACACTAGAGCCTGCCGACAAACTGGTCAAGGCGTATCGCGGGATGTGGGATCAGAGATGGAACCCGTGTGGCTGCGGGTATCAAGTCGGCAACTTCCAAGCGTTGGGCTGTGGGACATGAACGTTTGCGGCATGTGGATGTTGGTAGGTCAGGTCCAAGTCTGGATAGAGTCATCTTGGTGCGAACCAAGAAGGTTCAGTTGAAGGTGCATGAGGCGGGTGGCGCGTTTACGAGACGCCTGAGACGCTTCCGAAAATAGTATCGGATCCCATCTGTCTGAAGGCGATGGTGTTTGGGGATGCCCCAAGACTGGCCCCTTGGGCGTGTTTCATGATGACTAGGGCTGCAAGTACATACGGGGAAGGACAGATTCGAGGGTTTTGCCGTCAGCCAGAGCAGATGTTGACGTCGAACAAAGGGATGTTCCTTGTCAGTTGCAGTCAAGTAGGCGCCGTGGAGGGGCGTCTTGTACGCCAGATTTTGCTTGGTGGGTGACACAACAACGGTGAATCGTCTTGGCCTCTTGCTGCGGCTGCAGAAGACATAACGGTGCCGCTAGACACGGAGTCTCCTTGGTGCAGAGTTGGTGAGTGAATCAGATTGTGAATACTTGCTCAATGGGAGAGGGGCCGAGTGAGTGTTTCAAAGGACGCGGGTGTATTGACCCTTTGAGCAAGTTTAGCGCGAAGAAACCGGGAGGACGGCCGTCAGACACAGACACAGTCACAGGCCCCCCGCCATAATTTAGGGGTCCGGCAGGGGAGCCGTGGAAGGAAGCTTCCAAGAAGAAGCAAGGGGCATGATGAATATCACGACAATAAGATGAATCAACCAGATGCTGATGCAAGGTTTTGAATCGAGGTTAGAGGCGTCGGATGGTCCAGGCTCTAACGAGCTTGTCGGTGAGTTTGGTGCCTCCAGTGCTCCTTCCTCCTGCTAGGCCTTGTGCAAAGTACCTGCCCGTCGAGGTGCAGTTGGTGGTAACATGCAGGCACAACCCGACACGGCACGACACGACACGATACGACACGCAACTTGAAAGTTCAACCATCATCGGGTCCAATTTCAATCTGGATATTACCTTAAATTATGTGTGCTCCCATGGTCGGAGATTTCGTATCCGTCCGTACATACACATCCATATCCGAACGGCGACTAGAGAATCGAGCAATCAATCAATCGATCGGAGTCCATCCCTTTTTCTCTGTCTATGACCCCATTAGATGCTACTCCTAGTCGCGTGGTATTCTACCGGC